TTATATTATGTTATTGAGCTAGTGCTTGAAACATTATGTTGTCGAGTTAGTGTTTGAAAGCAACAATGATATTAGTTGATATTATTAAAATATAATTTTATCATATTCACTCAGCAGGTTAACGAAAACTTGGATGGTCGTCAAATTTTTAACAAAAAAAATATGAGTTTGGAACAGATGAATAGTCGAATAACTATTTTGTAATTGTTAATAGTTGAGATAATTAACAATACAATATTTTATGGAGACTATTTTATAAATTTTAAATCACGAGACTCAACAAAAAAAAAACCTATAATTGATGAACATTTGTATACTTTACAAAAAAAAAAATCACAAGTGACTTTCTATAATTTTTCAGAATTAAATAGTAATAAAATTAAATCTTACAAATATTTTAGTAACTACAAATATAATTTAGCAAAAATAATTTATTCCGTGGATATATTAACTACCCATAAATAATTGCATTAGTGAAGTAGGTAAGCTATAAGTGAGATGGCAGCCATTGACAAATAAATAAATTAAGTGCATTGAATGATTGATCTTAAAACGGTCTATTAACTTTTAACATTTTGGCGAGAGAGATTGTTTACATAAAAAAATGTAAAGTCAATCGAAGTTTGAAACCAATTTTTTTTGGTTTGATTGAAAATGGTGCATTATTTTATTTTTAACTATCTGCTTTGAATTGTTATTGATTTCCCTATATCATCCTAATGGTATCATCGAACTACCTTTAACCTATTATAGTTATAATTATTATCGAATAAATTGAATATATATGTAAATATTTAAAATATTAAATAAGTATATCAAAATTCAAATATTATCCTAATTTATAATATCTAAATAAAAAAAAACAAATAAGACATTAACTATTCCAATTAAAATTCCATTCAAGAGAGAAAAAAGGGAATAGCATTGATCGGAAAGTTCAAAATGTCCCTGAGAATACAAAGAGAAAAAAAGGGAAAAGCTAGAGAAAAAAACAAATAATACGCTGATGTTTCATTGAATAAAAATGGTTCAGCAACTGCTAAGTGGAAAAAACAAAACAGAAAGGATGAATTTTGAACTCATATCGTCTTGTCTCTAGAACAAAACGGATGAATTGATTTTTATTCCAAAAAATAAATAAATGAAATCAAAGGACATTTACTTGTGGGCCGCTTGCGTTGTGAATAATTAGAAGCACTTCCTGTGCACAATGGATGGGCCAGATTCATCATACTCGGCCTTTGAAATCCACATCTGCACTCCAATTCCAACGAGTAAAATGTCTTTCGTGTGTAAGAACTTGTGGGAAATATAGTACTATTGCTATTCCGTTTCGTCACATACGGATACTAGTGTCCAACCATGTGTCGGATACCAATAGTAGACATGAGTAATTCAAGAAAAACAAATAGCCAGAGCGCTTGCCCAATTTTCACTGTTGCTCCGACTTTTCTTTATTTTTTTCTTGAAGAACAAAAGTCTGACACTAATTTCACACATCTGTATACGGAAATGGGCATGGGATTTGATCCTTCAAAGACAGTTCAAATACATATAAATCTTTCCTATGTGTGATACTACATAGAAATCTTTCCTATGAGTGGTACTTATATCCAAGTTTGAATGATACATAACTTTAGCCTTTTTTCAAGCAGCAGCAGAACCTAGTCTCCTCAATCTAGGTCTCATTTGTAATGGAAAGAAAAGAAATAAATATAACAAAGGTGTTTCCTAGATTTCCGCCTAAATAATAGAAAACATAAAGCACTTAATATGAATAATAAAGGCATGGAATCTGTGATGTGAATGGAAATTGTCAGAGAAGTAGATTTTACCTGCTGGAAAGTACTAAGAGATGCCAAGATAGAGCCTCCAATCCAGACACTGTATTTCCTTTCAGGAGGAGCCACCACCTTAATCTTCATGCTGCTTGGGGCTAAGGCAGTGATTTCCTTGCTCATTCTGTCGGCAATTCCAGGGAACATGGTAGTTCCACCGCTGAGAACAATATTTCCATATAAATCCTTCCTTATGTCAACATCGCACTTCATGATAGAATTGTATGTAGTTTCATGGATGCCAGCAGCTTCCATTCCAATCATGGAAGGCTGGAAAAGGACTTCTGGGCATCGGAAACGCTCAGAACCAATGGTGATGACTTGGCCATCAGGCAACTCATAGCTCTTCTCAATGGAAGAACTAGTTTTGGCAGTTTCAAGCTCTTGCTCGAAGTCGAGTGCAATATATGCCAGCTTCTCTTTGACATCACGAACAATTTCACGCTCAGCTGTAGTGGTAAACGAATAACCACGCTCGGTTAAGATTTTCATAAGGGCATCAGTAAGGTCACGACCTGCCAGGTCAAGACGGAGGATGGCATGCGGGAGAGCGTATCCTTCATAAATGGGGACAGTATGGCTCACACCATCTCCGGAGTCCAGAACAATACCTGTAGAAAGTATAGTAGAAACAGTTGGTATATGAAAATGACTTGAGTAAAAAGTAAATTACAAAGATACTGGTCCTAGTCTCTAACTATTTTCATGAAGCCTTAGTAATCATAGTGAAATGAACGCAAAATCAAAAGAAACAAGGCAATGGGGATAAATGGCAACCAACTTTGAGCTCACTTTATATATTATTTGGGTAATCCAAGGACAAAATCTTTCATAATGGCGGGAATGTCTTGAAGTGCAAATTTTGACTTTGAGATTGTTTAACTCAAGTTTTATACATGAAATTGAGACTAATCAATTCCTTACCGGTTGTACGACCACTGGCATAAAGGGAGAGAACAGCCTGGATAGCAACATACATGGCCGGAGCATTGAAGGTCTCAAACATGATTTGGGTCATTTTCTCACGATTGGCTTTCGGATTCAGTGGTGCCTCAGTGAGAAGGACTGGGTGCTCTTCTGGAGCCACACGGAGTTCATTGTAGAAGGTATGATGCCAGATCTTTTCCATATCATCCCAATTGTTGACAATACCGTGTTCAATTGGGTATTTAAGAGTCAGAATACCACGCTTGGACTGAGCCTCATCCCCAACATAAGCATCCTTCTGACCCATGCCAACCATCACACCTGTATGACGCGGACGGCCTACAATGCTAGGGAACACGGCTCTTGGAGCATCATCACCAGCAAATCCCGCCTAAGAAAGAGCAAATTGCAGCGTTGAAAAATATCATATGTAAATCTTAAACTAACAAATTAGAACACCAGTTCATAAATATACCAAGGATAGTAACATAAATAGATACCTTAACCATTCCAGTTCCGTTATCGCATACGAGTGGTTGAATATCCTCACCATCTGCCATCGTGTTTTGCTAGCTGAAATGAAACATCAAAACTGAATCAGCATCACAGCAACACAGGAAGCACGCACCTCACAAATTAACAATCATGACTCGAATTTTGAATCATTTATGAGAAAGGATATAACACCAAAGCACCCTCATTCATAGGGGGAGACAGGAAAGATACAAGCAACATAACTTTTTTCACAACATTCCAATTTCACATATAAACAAATCCGTCACAAACAATTTGTTTAAAAACTAAGAAGATAATCCTTTATATAATCATATATTCTGATTTTCTTTAATCTTTCTAGTTGAAAGCTAGCTAATTCATGGAATATTAATGATAATGAACCATAAATCATCGCAGATCCAATGACTAGAACCTAATGAATCATAAATTATCCAAACAAGAACCATTAGAAATCAATTAAGCTGATAATTGATGCATTCAATTCCTACAAAATTATCATCATGCTGAGCAAAACCCGATAAAAATAAAAATTATTATCTTATTTATAAAGCGTTGATCTGAAAATTTTCATCTACTGTTTCTTTTTTCCTATATATTTTCAGGAACCAAACAGTAGCTAAACGATCACTTAAACCGAGAGCGGATACATGCAATTCCGACAAAATTATAGCAATGCTGATCAAAATCAGATCGAAAATCAACAATCCATTGTATGTTTCATTCCTGAAAATTCTCAGGAACAAAACAGTAGCTAAACGATCAAGTGAACCGAGAGAAGATACGTACATTTCCTACAACATTATCATAAAGCCAAGCAAAATCTGACCGATGATGTTTTATAATAAAACGGTAATCTGAAATTTTCATCTAGTATTTTTCCTAAATGTTCTCAGGAACAGAACAGAACGATCAATGAAACTGGAAGATGATACGTACATTTTATTGAAAATTGTTGCAATGCTAAGCAAAATCAGATCGAAAATCAACAATGTATGACGTTTTATAATAAAATGAGAATCTGAAACTTTTATCAATCGTCTTGTTTTTCTTTACTGTATTTTCTCATGAACCAAACAATAGCAAAAGAGAAATCACCTGCGCAAGAGCCAAAGGAAAAAGGAAAATCAGAGAAAGATGATCCTAAAAGAGAATGAAAAAGAAAATAGCAAGTGAAGGAATGAAACCAGTTTTTGAAATTTAAAACGAGAATGGAAAACCTTTTACCGGGTCTTTCGGTTTTATGTGCTCCATTAACAACGCTCCTATAACCGGTTTCCCACCCATCTTAAAGGGAAAAAATTTCTATTAGAAAATAAAAAAATAATTAGAATAATATGAAAAGTATGAGATGTTTTTAATATTAAAATACCTTATATTAAAATTTCGATTAGATGCAAATTGAGATCAATTTTTTTCGTTACGTGCAAAAAAGTTTAAATCATTCGCAGTACAAGGGATTTTCCATTAAACTAAGTGAAATTTTTTGAATTAATCAAATTTATAAATATCATTTTATCATTTAAATTTTATTTAACTTTTTATCAATCAAGTTTATAAAATTTAAATCAAATTAATTATATTTGTTTAAATTTAAATATATTTATTTATAATATTATAAATTTATGACCTTAATTGATAATAATTTAAATGATGCTCTTTTATATATAATAATAATAATAATAATAATAATAATAATAATAATAATTTAAACCCTCAAGAAGACCAACGCTACTTTAATTTCAATCTCAACTAACCAAAGATTACAACAATATGGGACCTCAGCTCCTCACCATGGTTGCTTGAATTTTTTTTATTTTCCAGCCATTTTTATCCACTGGGTAAAGGGAAATGAACATTATTCATAGGTTAACACTTCTAATGGATTCCTCAAGTGCCAACTTTCAAAGCTTATCAACCATCCATTCAGTTTCAGCAGCAATCCTTACTGCGCCGCCACGGTCACCCATCTTTCTAAATGAACCAACTGTCAATAAGCTCTTGAAGCTGCTGCTTCCCTCACTGAAATGCCTCGACTTGCTAGGTTTTCTTGGCTTTGAAGAACTAACATTGCCGATGTCGCAATCAGTACCATCGTGATCTTTAATCTCGGCTACCACCAATCGAGCGATGGTGCTCCGGCAAAACGGGCATAACGGGGGTGTTATGCACGCAGTTGCCGAGTTGGGCTTGTTGTGGCAGCACAAAACCAGTGTGCATTGCGCACACATCAGGTGGCCACAGTCTTGAACTTCAATTGTGCACATTTGCTCAAAGCATATGCAGCACACTTCAGTATCACTAGCCTACATCAAATAATACGCCGTTAAATATATCATCTTGATCGTTGCCAATTACAAGGAAAAACTTGGGAAAAAAACTTTTGGCATCAGAAATACATCCGAGTCCGAGTAACATAAGTAGAATAAAAAAAACTGGATTATAGAGACCTAAAAATAGGTTTTAGAGCATGCTAAAGTAAAAAACTTTATGCTGTCAATTGCTAGAGCATGAAACTCGAATGATCCTAGACCAGAACTACTATAGAGGCATTGAAACTCAAGGTAAGATGGGATGTTATACCTCAGAAATGTTGTCATCTAACCCGGACTCGGAATGTGAAGGTGATGGAAGTGAGTGAGCTGTTCCTTTGAGAATGTTCTTTTCCCTTTCCTTGTTTACCTCCATTAAAGCCTGTTCTAATAATGATTTTGCCTCCTCATTAAGCTCACTAATTAACTTTAATGGAGCTGGCCATATAAGAGGTTCTAGTGATGAAGGATTTAGCAGTGCTGCACATGCCCCATGTCTGTGCTTTAGAGCAACTACATATGGTATTCTCCTGTAAAATGCCATGAAAACTATAAACCAAAAAGAATATATAAACATGCATACGCACTTATATGTATATCGAAGGACTAGTATCATATCAGAAATGAGCAAAATAGAGTTCCACGAGTTTACATAAGAAGATGAGGATAAAAATAAGTAAAACAGAATATAGTGAGACCAACTCACGCTTCACGGATCTCTCAAAATGATTTCATTTGAAACATCATAAGGTAATACTTTAGACATTCGTATGAACAATAAAATGAAACTATACCCTGATGCATCTCTTTGAAGACGATCGGCACCCCATGCCAACAACTGGCGGATGCAATCGAGAGATCCTCCTCTAGCAGCCAAATGAAGTGGGGTGCTTCCTGGACAACTGAAAACGATAGATTTTTCAATCTCTATACCCGTCTATATAAGACTAAAAGGATATTGCTTTAACTTTCACAACAAATATTACCCATATTCACCAGTTGAAGCACAAACAAGAGCACCATGGTCTAACAGGGTATGTATGCATTCTGGCCGCCTCCGTCGGGCTGCTAAGTGCAATGGAGTAGCTCCCCTAGCATCTCTTACATTCACAAATCGTGCAAATCCCCTGAGAACAACTCGGGTCCAACAAAACATAAGATTAACTACAAACTGAGATCAATCACCGAATAAATCAAAATTGCTTCAAACAATCTTGACTATTGTAAGAAGAAAAACAGGACGCTCACCATGAAACAGCAATAGGGCTAGATCGAGCAGCAGAGAGGATGGCTTCGAGGCAGTCAGGGTGACCATAATAGGCTGCAAAATGCAAGCAAGTTCTTCCATGAAGGGAATCAAACGTTAAGATCTGAAAAGGCATATTTCATATAATTTCAAATCAAGATTATATTTTCGATGCAAATAAATGGATTAAATTGTAACTTACAAAGAAACAACAACTCACATTTGCTCCAGCTTCAATGAGCCTCTTTACACAGGATATCTTCCCATGCATTGCAGCCAACATAAGTGGAGTCTAAAATCATTGAAAAGCAAATTAAATTATATAAATAAAAATACAACCAAAAGGAATTTAGAACTTTTAAAATACCTGTTTGAGGCGATTCAATACATCCGGATTCGATGATTTCTCCAAAAGCATAAGCAGAATCTACAAACCAAAAGAAAATTTCTTCATATCAAGGGAATGAAACAAAACATGGATTCAACACTCGAAAACCACAGTATATGAACTTCAAGGAGATAAAACTCACCTCGATCTGGCCATTGGCAGCAGCTATATGAAGAGCAGAGTGTCGACCATGAGCAGTTTTATGATTTAAAACATTGGCTTCTCTCTTCAACAATGCTTCAATAGTTTCGAGGTCTCCAACTTGAACTGCACTAAACAATGCATTCTCCTGTCTCGCCACACAACTCAGTCCTTGGCCCATATTTCGAAAGAACAAAGGCTTTAAGAATTTCTTCTACTTTTCACCACGGGTCTTCGGAGAGTCCCTCCGGTGGCGGCGGGAGATGGCCTGGACTCTCAAATTGCCAAAAAAAAGTTCACATTTTAAGTAGTCTTTCAAAATGAAATGTCTCTTTTAAATGTATGGGCATCTCTAGCTGCCCGAGAAAAGACGCGGTAGCTGCCCGTATCAGTTGCGGGAACATTTCCGGGTAGAAATCGGGGCAAATTAGATTCCTTTGAAGAAGATCCAAAGCAAAATTGCCAGCCCTTGATAACTTTGTGCGGTGAGCATTAGTCGTACGATTAAAAGGGTAAAGCAAAGCGGAGAGGATAAAGTTAGTTAAACAAACAAGTAGAGTTAATCCAATGAAATTGCAGCATGTTGCTTGAATTAAGGCTGCTTTACTTTAAACACCCTTTACCCCTTTGTTTTTTTTTTTGAAAAAATAACTTAAGTGACAGAAAATATTTTATAATATACGATTTTAATTAATTTTTTTTGGATTTGTGAAAATGATCAACAAATTCGCAACGCGAACTCTAATTTCGCAACTCAGTTTCTAAATTCGCAACACGAATATGTAAATCGCATTGCGATTTTCCAAATTCGTAATGCGAATCTGTAAATAACAACGCGAATTTGTAAATCGCAACATAGAAGTCAAATTCGCAACGCGATAGTCAAATGCGCAACACAAAAGTCAAATTCGTAACGCGAATCTGTAAATCGCAACACGAATTTGTAAATCGCAATACATAAGTCAAGTTCGCAACACAAAAGTCAAATTCACAACACTGAATTTCAAATTCATAACACAAAAGTCAAATTCGCAACACGATAGTTAAATTCGCAACGCGAATTTTATTTTATTTTCGAATTCGAAACACAATATTAATTTCGCAACACAAATGTAAACAATATTATCTCAAATCATAACCTAAAACCCTAAATCACAACTCAATCCCATCTCCATCTCTCACTCTCTAAGGCAACATCCGTCCCCATCTCTGACGAAATCCGTCCTCATCTCCGGTGAAATCCGTCTATCTCCATCTCTCATAGCAACCTTCACAACCATTCACGGTCAGAAATGGAAAATCAATCACCGATGGTTAGTTTTTTTAATCTCTTATTTTTATTTTGAAATTTTTGTATTATTATTATATTTTTCTTATATTGATGATAAATTTACTGGTAATTTCAATATATATAGATTAACCATTTCACTGAGATTGTTTAGTAAATTCATTCGGTTGCTGTCAATATTGCTAAACTGTTTAGTCTTTAACCCTGTGAAGTTAGTATTTGTCTTTGTTTTTTAGTTGAAGTAATGCAATTCATTTAAGTTTCAATTTGTAGAATAAGAGTAGTTTATGAAACTTAAATTCACAACGCAGAAATGAAAATCGCAACGCAAAATTAGTTTTGCGTTGCGATTTTCTTGTTGCAATTTTCATTTTCGCGTTGCGAATTTAAGTTTCAGAAACTACTCTTATTCTGCAAATTGAAACTTGAATGAATTGCATTATTTCAACCAAAAAACAAAGACAAATACTAAATTCACAGTGTTGCTAATTTAAGTTTCAAGAATAAACTACTACTCTTTATGTTGTCCTTGAACCTGCACTAAACCTATATGTTGTCCTTTTATGTTTATATAAGTGCTTACTTCTGGAATGTTATCTGATGCATTTTGTGAACTATGATGGAATAATGACTTGGTTGAATACCGTGCTAGTTTGAAACATATTTGGCTTTGTTTTCACTGTTTAATATCATGTCTGTTTATAGTGTATAATTTTTTTGGTATATCTAACTTGGTATGTTTATTGTTTTTGTAGAAATTTTTTCGGCTCAATTGACCTTAAGGAATAAATAAAGCCTAGCCACTAAAATTGCGTCGACGCTTACACCTCTACAAAGAAAATTGTTTGAGGATACTTGCTTCGGGCTATGGCTGAAAGTACAACATTTGAGTGGAGATGCTATGTTGACACATTTGTTTCTTCAGACCATGACTAACGATCTACCCGAGAAGATACAACGTGGTGATGAAGAGATATGGTTTCATTTTCCTCCGGCATATACTTGTTTTGGGCGGGAGGAGTTTTGCTTAATCACTGGTCTACGCTTCGGACACGATGAAGTAACCCGAAACACTAGTCATATCTCCCGCCCATCATGGTTATCTCGGGTTTTTCCTGAGCTGGCAAAGTCGAAGACGAGTTTACACGTCAACGACTTGAAGAGATTATTTGTTAAAGATGGTTTTACTCGGATGAATTACCATGATGTTGTCCGAGTATGCCATTTATTACTTTTGCATGCCGGCTTTTTAGGCAAAGAGGGCAGACAACCTATTTATGAGGACCTAATATTGTGTTTGGTATTGGAAATGTGGTGAAATAAAATTTTCTTGGTGATGAAATTGTGGTAGAACCATTAAATTTTGAGATTGATAACAACGTTGTACATTGTGAGCACCATAAACTGTGGTTGAATAACTTAGTTGATTACTACCCGCTACTGACCCAATTTCACTACTTCTAGGTTCAACAACATACAATGTAACATCATCTTCTTGCGAAACACTAATGTAAACAATGAATCGTTCAACATCTTCATTGTCGGTTAACAAATAAACTTTACATTTTCTCTGATAAGATAGCCTAAATTCACTTAGAGGCTCTAAATTCAATTTCCTTGCAACACGTAACATTAGAGTTTCATAAGTTAACTTTTTTAATGACAGTTTTAGTTGAAGATTCATGGGTAAATGCACATATTATAAAACACCATGAACATTCTCTCATGACCCTCCAAAACACAAATTTATCCAAACATGATCAACATTAGATGATTTCATTCAACAAATTGTAAATTAATTTACTAAACAAACGAGCTATAAACTAGATATTATCACTAACTTAGAGAAAAACATACCTTTATTAAGTTGATAGTTGATAATTTGGGAGAAAAATCATTGAAAATTTTTATATAAATAAAATTATGTAAAAAAAAATTAGAAATGGGGAAGGATGTCGTTGGATATAGGAACGAATGTCGTCGGAGAGAGTGATAGATGAATATGGAATGAGTTGCGATTTAGGGATTTAGGTTATGAGTTGTTGCTGTTGCGTAGTTATATACCTAAAACATTTGTGTTGCGAAACTAAAACCTGTTGCGAAATTAAATTCGTGTTGCGAATTTGAAAATCGTGTTGCGAATTTGAAAATCGTGTTGCGAATTTGAAATTTAGTGTTGTGAATTTGACTTATGTGTTGCGAATTTGGCTTCTGTGTTGCGATTTACAAATTCGCGTTGCGAATTACATATTCGCATTGCAAATTTGACTATCGCGTTACGAATTGACTTATGTGTTGCGATTTATAGATTCGCGTTGCGAATTTGGAAAATGGGTTGCGAAATTGGAGTTCGCGTTGTGAATTTGTTAGCCCTTTTCGTAAATCCAAAAAAATTGATTAAAATCGTATATTATAAGGGATTTTCGGTCACTGAGGTTGTTTTTTCTTTTTTTTGGGGGCCACTTCTTTGTATAGTTTATATTTTCTTATTGATCATTTTATGCCATTCATATTTGACTTTTATTTGAAGTTTTTATATTTATACACGAGATTATATAATTGGTCAAAATTGAAAATAGTTGCTATATATATATATATATATATATATATATATATATATATATATATATATATATATATATAGAGAGAGAGAGAGAGAGAGAGAGAGAGAGAGAGAGAGAGAGAGAGAGAGAGGTCTTTATAAATATATTATATATTTTTATCTAAATATTTAATTTTTTTATTAAAATTCATATTTAAAGTTATTATTATTATTCTTATTTAAGTATCTAAAATATTTTAAAAATGATTATTTTTTTTTGGTATCCCGAGGTATCTCCAGGCTTCGCCTGAGACTAATCCTCCGAGATACTGTCGGGCACTAAAGGTGGGGACCTCTCCCAAAAAAGTTTGCTGCATCCACAAGGGCTCAAACTAGAGCTTAAACGACCAGAGCCCCTTCCACTGGCCAACTTTCGTTGGTTTAAAAATGATTACTTGTTAACTCTTAAAAAACGAAAATTGATATCTATATTAAATTAAAATGCTACTTTTAATTCTTTAAAATATTAATATTGAATTAAAATACTAATAATTAATCATACTAAATTATTTAGAATGCAAATATATTTTGTGATCAAGTACGAAAAGAAAAATGATAAAAAGCATTAAAATAAAAATGCTTTGGACAGTAGTACAAAGAGATGAAAACACGTACAAAACGACAGGAAGATCCAAAGCAATGTTTTGGGGCCATAGCAAGTGGGTAAACGGTGTAGCCACTCATATAGGTCAACGGAATATTTATATATGAATATTCTAGAGCTTATCTCATGCTACCCACAACCACTGGCTCTCGAGGATGGCTTACTAGTAGTACATGTGAACCGACCATTTTAGTTCTTTTCTCTTTAATATCAATCATCCGTCAAATTCATGGGGATTCAACCTACAATAGTAAAGAAATTTCACGTTAAATTTAAAGTTGAATTAAATTCCATCGTCCGACTCATACATATGTTTGAGTTTGGATTCTGGAAGCAATTACGGTATTTTTCATTAATTATTCTCAAATCACTTTGGGGTGGCATTGAAAACAAATTGAAGATTCATAAGCCCAGTCTCGATTGGGATACTGCCACAAAGCCGAAATCCCTTGGAACTGGACAAATGAACCATCCAAACCAAGCTCAGCTTCTTAAACTATATTGGGGGCTTCTCCACACTCCTTGGGCTCTTACGCTATAAGAGAAGCATCTTAAAGGAAGCACAAATTCTAAAAGGGCTTCCATCACATGGACTGCCCTTCCTAGTATCCACCAACTTCTTCATAAAGGATAAAGAAATATTGAATCGGAGCTTAGGGGACTTAAAAGATAATTTTCGGCTAAATTGATTTATTAAAATTTATTATAATAGATAATTTTATATATATCCAAAGATTTACTTATTAAAAATTTATTTAACCGAACTTAGTAAATTATAATTAGATATTAACCTTCTTCGATCACAAAAATCAATAAAGATATCAAATTTCAGGCACTAATGTGTCACCGATAACAAACAGTTCGAAAACGCCCAAATATAGTTTCAGTTCAGTTACTTCAACCAGAAATCCATGTCAATGTCTGGCCATATTTCACAATGCTTGCTGTCAAAACCAGAAGCTCAAGTTAAAAGAAAAGCTTATTCCTTTTGCTGGCAAATTAAATAGAGAAAGGAGTGAATAGCGGCGGAAGAGGCGGTGACGGTGTTGGAAATGCGAGTTTCACGGGGCAGCAGCTTAGTTAAAGGTGGCGGCGGCGTGGCATGCAGCAGCCCAGGGAAACAGAGCATTGTCTAAGAATCAGCGAAACGATTTTAATCGATCTACTGTTTCAACTCGTGGCATGAGCCAGCCTATAGTCCTAGACCACCCTATCATCACCGTGTGACTGGGCCATTAATGGCGTGCCCTCTTTCCCCATTTTTGACCAAAGGCTCCGTTCTAAAGCACTCATTATCATGGATTTCGGTTACGCTTTCGCACCATGATACAAGTAAACTAAATTACAGGTCACTCAATTATCAAGTAGACTATAAACATGTCATTTAAAAAAAAATACAATTTAACCATTTAATAAAAATATTATTATAGATAATTTATTTTATATTAAAATTAAAACAAAAGTCTAACATAACCTAATATAACAGCGATTTAATATTTAAAATTTATATATTTTATCAAATTAATAATAAGTCAAAACAAATCAATAAATTTAACCTTTATGTAATATTTTTGTGATATTATCAAATCAAAAGTCTATCGGATCAAGTAACAATTAGACAAATACATTTTACCATAAAATAAAACAATAAATTATTAATTGAAGCCTTCCATAATGAATATTAATTGATTATATGATTGGGAAGGCTTGACTAGAATCACTACAAAGTATATGTGTAACAAAATTTATAATTCAAAGATAAGATTGGTTGATGATAAGTAGAACTTGTACATGGTGCTTAAAAAACAATAACAAAACATGAAGATGATGTCTTTTAAGTGTATAACAAAAAAGCATATTTCACGATAAGATTTTGTTAACTCTCGTACATGGTGTCTCACACAGAGCAATAAACAAATTACTCTCATTGGTATAATTCAACACCGTAAAAGATATTGAAAGTAATTTTGAGCAACATAACAGTAATACAATATTCCATTAGAGAAGAAAAATAATATTGAATTGATAGAATATTTGTGTATGAAAGATTAAATTTATTAAATTATTTTGAATTTTGATAAAATTAAATAGAATATATAAGTTTTAAAACTATCCTATTTGTATGCCAAGCCATGTTAAAAGTTTATTTCAATTTCAATGTCGAACTGACATGTTTGTAACAATGTTTCGATGGAATGACTAAATTATAATTTTTAATAAAATCATGACATGTTTATAATTACCTAATAGTTGAGTGACTAAGAATGTAGTTTATCCTATAATTAAAACGTTGTTTCCATTGATAGGCTATAATTTCTAATTAATTAGTTGAAGTTTTAAAGTAATTAAAAAAATGCAATGATTTCCTTCACTCTTTCCCTGGCCATAGGCAGGTCTTAATAGAAATAATATTGAATAAAAAGTAAAATATAAAAATGATGAATATAATAATATATAAAAAAGTATGAAACAAATAGAAGAAGAACCAAAAGGGATGCAGCTAAAGCCCACAGAGAGCAGAGTTCACCTAAACCTAGACGATTCAACTTCATCTGCATGCGCTCATCTCTGCTGAGCCTCACCCTTTACTTCAATTCCCAAAGCCTACCCCTTTGCCTACTCCTTTACAACCCAACCCTCTGTCTTTTTCCCCCATCTCTTTTCTTCAATGGCGTATCCCTTCTCCCCATCATCATCACCATCAACTTGTTTTTCCCATTCTTTCATTCCCGAGATCCTACCATTTCTCTATAACTGTTCATCCCCCACCAATATCTTTGCTGCCCATTTTCGTCTTTTTATATTTCACTTCCTTTGTCAAGGAGACGACGGTCCAATTCTTGTTTCAGTCCTTTTCTTTGTTAAATTTAGGACGATCAAATTGATGGGGAAGGGACTAAATCGTAAAGTATAACTTGGTAAAGGGACTAATAATAGGAGTTAACCAGAAGACAACCATACTTCTTCAGCCGCTACCCACCATGTTTTCAGAGATTTTCAGCACAAAAAACAATACGCATGTCAATCTCAAATCTTTACTCTTTTCTCTCTCATATTTACTTGTTTGACTCTTTTTCTTTTCTTTTCTTTTCCTCTTCTATTTAAACCAGTACAAAAGTCATGCAATGTGCAATTCCCATGCCAAACGGCAAACCCTCTTTTCATCTCATTTTTTTGTATTGTTTTTGTTTTTTTAGCAAACATTCAAAAATCCATATTACATAAATCAATCAAATCTGAGAAAACCCCATTCTTCAATCAAATCAGTCATATAAACCCTTTCTTAAATCTTGGCAATACAAAGGAAACAAATGGAAGGTGTTGGTGGTGGTAACATGGAAATGGCTGGTGCTGCTGGTGGAACCACTGGGAATTCAAGGTGGAACCCAACGAAGGAGCAAATAAGCATGCTCGAAACCTTGTATAAGCAAGGGATAAGGACGCCGAGTGCAGAACAGATAGAGCATATAACGGCCAGGCTCAAAGGTTACGGCATCATCGAAGGCAAAAATGTGTTCTATTGGTTCCAAAACCACAAGGCACGCCAAAGGCAGAAACAAAAGCAAGAGAATTTGGCTTATATCAATCGCTATCTTCATAGAACACAACCTGTTTATCCTCCTCCTCCCCCTTGTCCCAATGGTTATTTTCGAAATCCTGTTGTTTATTTGATTATTCTATTCTAGATATATAGCTTCGTTCCAAGCTGTCTCTACATACATGCAGATGGCTCGAAATGTGTGTCGATGGCTTTCAAAATCTGTTAAAACTACATTGTTTATTGCGAAGTAATAATTTTTTGGATCACAGTACTTGGATATGATTCTATAGTTTTTTTTTTCACTTCTGCATATGATTATTACTTTGATTCTCTGTTTCTTTCATACTGATATGTAGTCTACAGACATATGGACAAAACATGTTGTGTTAAACGAAACAACTGATTTGGTTTGTTTTTGTTTTTTTGATGTAGTTTGTGGTCCATATTTTGTACCACAAGGTGATCATCATCTAGGATTTTACCCTCAGTGCCCGAAGGTTCTTGTCCCCGGTGGATCAATGAAGAGGAGAGGAAGACCTGCTGGCGGGAAAATGGTGAAGCCGATATTTTACGGTGGACATGCATATGATCATATGGTTCACCATGATTACAACGCCACGATAATACGAGATACTGAAAACTCTGGTGGAGCACTCAGCAAAGGCGGCGGCTGCAGCAACGAAGATGGTACTAATCATCACGAGACGTTGCCATTGTTTCCATTGCACCCCACCGGTGTCTGTGAAGGGAATTCAACGCCATTAATGGCGTCTCCAGGTGGTGATTTGAGCTCTTGTGAGGCTGCTGCTGCTGGTGTTGACCGAGAAAGCAGTACGGGATGCTCCGGTGAACAACGTTTCTTTGATTTCTTCTCTTGCCAAGCTTCTTCCGAAAGTGATTAAGTTAATAATGGAAATATGGAATTAATTAATTGCCATTTGAGTATCTGTCGTGCTTCTTTTCTAAGTTGTATTTTGTGTCAAGAGAGGTTCTTCTCCAGGTGGTATATCGGTTCTATTGATATTATGTCATTGACTTTTTGTTCTCCTTTTACCTCTCAATGTTCATTACGGAGATTACATTGAAGCATCACATGCATACATATACATATACTTTATTGTATTGTATGATCAGCTGTTATTCGCCTGCGACATGCGTTTGTAGGATATGCCTTTTTTTTTTTAAGTCTCGCTGCCCGACCATTGACATCTTTATAAATTAATACTTCATCTAAAATATTAATATCATTATTAAACCAATATAATTCTAAAGATAGTTAAATTAATATTTTATTTAAAATTTAAGAGTTAAAATTGATATTTTATCTAAAATTTATGAGTCGGTTTAATATTTTATTTAAAGTTTAGAGACCAAAATTAACATTATATAAAATTTATGAATCAAAATAAAAATTAATCTTTTTATTAACATGTTGCACCATCATACTAACAGTTTCTAAAGATTTCGGGGCCGAAATACAATCAAATGATAACAACTAACAAGCGATAAAAATAAAAGTTTGTTAAAATTAGCGACTAAAACTGAAGAAGTTTGAAACAAAAGTGACCATTCTTGTATTTTAACCTTTTGAAAATTTATTCTGTTGAGTGAAATTGGATTGGCATCAGTCATTGGAGCAATCCCTATATAGAAAACCCACAGTATTTGACGTGTATATCCGTATTAATTTTGTTTATTGACTTACATATTATCTCCCATACGCCACCGTTTCATTGTGACCAATTCTATTAAACTGTTTCCTAGCTCCTACAGATACTAAAAGCCGTCACCGTCACTTCACTTTGACCTTAAATACGCTGTCGTTTCTTGCGTTAAAACAATCTGAAAAAGGCCAACTGAACGGAATTTTAAACGGTTGACATTATCTTGCTTTACCCTTTCATTTATCTCGCCCTTCGACCTTGAAAATTTCCCAAGAAAATCCTCTTTTGTTGGGGATTCTATGCCCTTATCGAAAGGTAATTCTTTGAATATCTCTTGTTTTCATCTACAGTTTTTTTCCCTTCTTTTTATTAAAAGGCGAGTTTATATTTGTTTATTTTATTCTATAGATCAAGAAAGTTCATTACAAGGGAAACATTATTGGGTTTTTGTTGTTTTGTTAGTTTTGATATGCTTCGGGTTCTATTTGTCGAGATTTTAGCTGTTTTCAGGACTGAGACATGAGAGCTCTTTTAGTGGATAAGTGAAGAATAACGGTTATGTCGATGACTAGTAAATTATTCGCCAATGAGTTGCGTTGAATAAATATTGAGGTTTCTCTTATTTTTTTGGTTGATTTGATGGGCTTGGTTTTGATTTTTTTTGTTGAGATTGTATGTTTATGTTGTTCTTAGGACTAAAAGCATGGGAGAAGATTTGCTTACAAGCTTGAGTATGGAAAACCACCACCCTTCAACAGTTCTATCAATGGATTCAAGTTCAAACTCTCATGCGGAACTAGACCGGGAGATTAACCGATCTATTGCACTTTCTAAAGCACCTGATATTAATCTTATTCCTCTGTCAGCCGACTGTAGTCCGCCAAAATCGTGGAATTCGGATCCATTAGATATGTTGGATGTAGCTCTTGGAACTCATGTCAATGAGGTTGATACTTTAGTTACGGTGTCGAAAACCGGGCAGCGTAAGTGTGCCAAGAGATTGGATGGTGCTTGGGGTGCTTGGTTTTTCTTTAATTATTACTTTAAGCCTGTTTTTTTAATGAGAAATCGAAAGTGAAGGTGGATAGGGATGCAAATGGAGTTTCGGGGTTTGAGTTTGATAAGTTGGATCTTGAGCTAGAGGTTTTTTTGGTTCAGCACGATATGGAGAATATGTATATGTGGGTTTTTAAAGAGAGGCCTGAAAATGCATTGGGTAAGATGCAGTTAAGGAGTTACATGAACGGACATTCACGTCAAGGGGAGCGGCCTTTTCCGTTTAGTGTTGACAAGGGATTCATTCGGTCACATAGGATGCAGCGCAAGCAGTATCGTGGTCTTGTTAATCCTCAATGCGTGCATGGGATCGAGGTTGTTCCATCCCCCAATCTCACAGGTCTCGATGAAGAAGAGCAAAAGAGGTGGATGGAACTTACAGGAAGGGACCTGAACTTCTCGCTTCCACCTGAAGCAAGTGAATTTTGTACCTGGAGGAACCTTGCTAACCCTGAATTTGAGATCGATAGACCCCTTCCTTCATTAAAAACTAACATGCAGCCTCAACAGAAAAAGCTTCTGAACGGTTCAGGTTTAGATTTATCGACTAGGCCTTCAAACCATGCAAATGATGGTGTTACGGATCTCTCCACTTTTGGCAGCAAGAGGAAGAAAGATTTCTTTGTAAATGTCAATGAAGACTGTCGTTTGCTCATTAATCAGCATAATGACAGCGTAAATGAGACAGAAATGCACCTGAATGAACCGCATTGGCTGAATGAGTTTAGTGGAGTAATGAGAAATGTTTATGGACCTGTTACGGCTGCCAAAACGATATACGAGGATGAACAAGGATACCTAATTGTTATAAGCTTGCCTTTTGCAGATCTTAAGAGAGTGAAAGTTACTTGGTGGAATAACCCAACTCATGGTGTCGTAAAGATATCATCTATAAGCACAGCTTGCATGCCAGTTATTAAGAGAAATGATCGGACATTCAAGCTTACAGATCCGTTGCCCGAGCATTGTCCACCGGGAGAGTTCATAAGGGAAATACCTCTACCAACTAGGATTCCAGATGATGCTAAGTTAGAAGCATACGGTGATGAAACAGGAATTGGTCTTGAAATCATAGTGCCGAAGCACCGAACAGGTCCGGAAGAACATGAGGTTCGCGTCTGCCTCCGTCCCAACCTCGGACCGAATGAGCTTTTGCTGTCATAACCTCCCATATAGGCTTTTCATTGAAGAAATACAAAGATAGGTTCTTTTTGTGGTAAAGGATTCCATTATTTTGTACTAAAAAAAGAAAAAAAAATTGTAATGAAAAATAAGTTTACATCTGATATTGATCTTTGTAATGTAGTCATTATGTTTGCAACAAGTGGTATAGATTAGAGATTCCTTGGTGCATGTTTAGGTGAATGCCGTGCGTCACTTTCTATTGTATCCGTCGTTATCTTTTACACTTAAAATTTTGTTTAAGGTTTTATAAGAAACAGTTTACTTTTTTATGTAGATATCAAATACAGGTGGGCAAGTTCACCACAAAAAAGAAAATTGTTAAATAAATTTAAAGTAGAACTGTAAAACAACATAATCAATCATAACTCCAGATCCTGAAATGTACAAAACCATGTCTAGCAGCTTAATCCACTTCCTCAATCTTAGGCCCGGCAATGCTTTGCCACCAGAAGAATGGCCATCCTCGTCCACATAAGCACCACCGGAAGCTCCCTACAATGATGGAATTGCAAATGCTTTCCAGCTCCTTCATCTTTTCCCCAAGCTCATCTACCTTGGGCACTTAGCCATTGGTTTGCTCCACCCGGAAGCTTAGAGATCATCTTCTTATCCTTGGTTGTTTTCCTCGTGTTATAAACATAATTCTCAAGTGCTTTCTTGGCCTCAACTTTTTTCTTGTGTTCCTCATACTCGGACTTGTATTTCTCAGCTTCTTGCACCATCTTATCAATCTCTTCCTTGGATAGCTTACCTTTGTGATTAGTCATTAGTGATAGTGATGTTATTCTGTCCAGTTGTCTTGTCCTCGGCAGAGACGTTCAAAATACCATTGGCATAAATATCATCAAAGCAGACTTTGATTTGAGGTGAGGGCTGGATACATACCTGAAAACTCAAATTTCCCGAGAAGATTGTTATCCTCTTCCTTTTTGGTGTCGGAATCAATACAGTCGTAACTCCACCAGCAGTTTCCAAGCCAATAGAACGTGGGGTGACATCAAATCTTGAACCTTGTTATTACCCTCCCCACTCAAAATCGCAGCCTGCGACGGCTTCATCAGGGTTAATGCTCTAGCAAAGCTCTTTACGATTGAAGAAATCTTGCAACAATTGATCAACTTTTCGGAATCCGAGTAGACAGTAGACCCACCAATGAGAACAACATCACGATCTTGGCTTTTGTCCATCTTTGCATCCCTCAAACATTTCTCCACTGGTTCCGTACATTTCCTAAACAGATTCATGCTCAACTCCTCGGGTTATGGTCGTATAAAAATTGATCCCGAATCGGTTTCAATTGTATTTGAGCTGTTGAAGACAATGTCCTTTCGGTTCAATCACAAGCTGTTCTTAACCTGCTATTGGTTTCCCACTGAAATCCTTCTTGTGCTTCCTCTTGAAATCCTATTATCGAAATCTTCACCTCCCAAATGGGTATCTCCTGCAGTTGCCCATGGCCAATAGCTGCGGCGATTAAAATTGTCCTGTCAAATTACGGTTTTATAAAATTATAACGCATCAAAACTAATAGAATGATGGTTAAAATTACAGAAGTAATTTACAAAAATATACAGTTTTTGAAACTTTAAGAAATTTTATAAAGAAAAAAAATTATATTATTAACGTTAAATCAAATTCACGATTAATTAACAAAAAGTGCTCATATTAGTTGTAACGGGTATTGAAAAATGTAAATAGTTAATAAAATAAAATGTAATGTATAAGAGAAAAAATATGAAGTGTTTTTTCAATTTTTTATATAATCTATTTATTTAATTTTCAATGTATTTTTTCCTAATAAATTAGTAACAAAAGATTTGCACGTTAGCCACTTTAACCGCCCTAATTACCAAAATTACATCTTTTCACGCCAAAACCCGACAAATGGCTTGCGTGGCAACATCTGATTCGCTTTAAGTGCTTGCAAAAACAAAGTGCGCCGTACAGAATCCTCGCTCCCCACTGAGACCACAACCGGCAAATTCCCTCTATCTATAAATTGAAACAAAGAGTCAGCTTTACGTTTTTCTCTTGCTTTTCCTCGTTTCAAATCGTATTTCAGCTCCCTTCTCCATGGCATCTCAAGCCAGCTTACTCCTTCAAAAACAGCTCAAAGGTTACTTTTTATCGTTTTGATTTTCAGTTTTAATGATTTTGGATTCGATTTTGAACCGTGTTTCGCTTGATCGGTCTTGCAGATCTTTGTAAGAAACAGGTTGATGGGTTCTCAGCCGGATTGGTTGATGAGAACAATATCTTTGAATGGAGTGTTACAATTATTGGACCTCCTGATACTCTTTAGTAATTTCTTTTTTGAAATTAATCATTTCTTATGGATTTTTCATTGAGTTCTGTTTGTTGACGTTGGATCACTAGCTGTGGTTATGATTGATGCTTAATAAGACTTTGCCTTTTCAAAATTTGAATTATTTATCTTAATTGTGATTGATTCTATAGTTTATTTCAAGATCTTGTATTGAATTCCAAAGGAAATCTGGGTTCTAAGTTGGATTATCTTGATTGGCTGATTCGTTTTAGGTGATTGTGGGGTTTGGATTATATAATTTTGAGGCTTCCTTCGTTTTTCCGATTGACATTGACTCTGTTTTATTGAATTGGTTTTGCAGCAGTCGTGAGAATACAAATTGTTCTCTTTTTTTTCCAGCATTTATACGCATGAAAATTGATAGGGGTTGCTCCTATCATTGTAAATATGCACCATTAACTAGTATTTGAAGGTTTGCCGGTTTTGACAAGGAAAGAATTTTCTTTTGCTTTTGGAATTTTCAACAATTGTAGCTTATGTTCTTTTCATGTGTGTTTTTACCTTCTGGTGACTTTTTAATCCACTTCACTATTCTTGTTCTCAAGTCATATTGACTTGAATTGTGTAGGAGCTGATATTTTAGTGGCTGTGTCTCTGGGATAAGTTGTTTGTTGATCTCTCTTTGGGGAATATATCTCGTAATTGCATGATTTTAGTATCCAAACAGCCCTCCAGCAGTAAAATTTACATCAGAGATTTGGCATCCAAATGGTAAACATTTTTCTCTTTGGCTTCTTATACGCATTTATGTAATGCGATGGTTAATTTCAGTTTTATGTGTATTCCAGTTTATCCTGATGGGCGTGTTTGTATATCAATTCTTCATCCTCCTAGTGATAATCCAAATGGCTATGAGCTTGCAAGTGAGCGCTGGATGCCTGTACAGGCGGTATGATTAATAAAAGTCCATTACGTGTGAGTTGTCCCTTGCTTATGCCTGTTCAAGTGCTATTAACATTAATAACAGCATAGATTTTAAATTTTCTCAAAAGTGTACTAATTGGAAGGAAGTAATATTTCATCTGACAAACATAAATATAGGAAAGAAGTATCAAATTTCATGGAAATCATAAGAGATATTTATGTACATAGATACCAAAGTTGTATATGAATCTAAATGCTGCATGTGAAGTAATTATTCACTCTAAAACAAAGATTGAAGGGGAATATATGTAATCTTGAGGGGTAATTTAAATGAGATTGTAGAAGATTAATTGCGACTACATTTGTTTACATGGTGATTGGCATCTAGATATGTAAAGTTAATTTGTCATTTAGTAAATGTGAATAATTCTAGAAAAACATCTAAGGAAAAGGATTCTACTTCAAAAAGGTGGAGTTTGTATCTCTTAAGAATCAACTGAATTTAGAATGGCATGGATTTCAAATGGATTGAGAAAATGTGTATATATGACCTTATTTGATTTCATACGAAGGCTTGGTTTAGTTGGTGAACAATCAAAAGTTTCAAGTCATAAAGTTTAGTTTATCTGATGTTTTTTTATATAAAATAAATAATCAAAGATTGTTTTCTAAAATGTTCATGGCTTTTTTTGTGATTATCAATTATCAAGTGTGATTATGTGATGTTTTGCAATCCAATTCTGATAATAGTGCATAAATAATTGCAAATTCTTAATACGTGGCAGGTTGAAAGCATCGTTTTGAGTATCATTTCAATGCTTTCCAGCCCTAACGATGAATCTCCTGCAAATGTTGAAGCTGCAAATCGTTTTGTGATTGATCTCGATTATTAGGATCATTAACATAAAACGAGTATTCATATTGTGTAGTGCTTGAATGTGCACTTGTATACGTTTACATGGTTAAATGTTAATAGTATTTGGTATCAAATATCAATCATCTATGCTCTTTTAACTTTCAAGGCTGCTGTTCGAGATTGGTATGTTACCATCGTTGACTGACTAAACCATCAAAACTGCATTCATGTATTCATGTTTCTCACGATCGGACATGTTTGTATACATTGGCAGAAAGAATAGAGAGAGAGGAGAGATGAATTCAAGAGGAAGGTCGGCCGCTGTGTCAGACGGTCACAAGAAATGTTATAATCAGTTTGCCGGTGGCTGTGCTTCAGCTCTGCGTGTGTAATTGAAGTGAATGCCTTAATTTATTGTGTGAGGGAGAGATGTTTTGGTGGAGTAATTGTATCAACTCCCAAATGTTTCTGCATTCAGAATCCTTTTTTGGTCATTGTTGACAATTTTCCCTCCATATATGGTTTAATTGATATTTTATTATACAAAGTAATTTAGTTTTAACATAAACAAATAAGTAAAACTATCAACCTCTTATCAATACTGTTTATTTGTGATTATAGGCATGGAACTAGTGTATAATTTCGTGTATGTAATTTATCCTAAATTACATAAGTGGTCACTTTTAAAGTACTTGTATATTGTCATTGAAATTTTAAAACTTGAAATATAGTTAATGAATTTTTAGTTCGATTTTATTTTATTATTGTCATTGTCGTTAATTATTTTTAAGAAAAATTCAAGTGATATATTAAATTTTTTTTCTTAACAAATATTTTTGAAATAAGTACGTAGATTGCATTAGTCATAAAAGACATTATTTAGAACACAATTTGAGATACATTCAAGGTAATCATATATAAAATATAACGGTGAACGACTAGTAACAACCTAATGAACAAAAGTGAACTAGAGTATCTAGACAGTATTTAAAGTGGACGAATAAAATATCAATCTTACTTTAATCACAGCTTCATCCTATCATCATGAGAAGAATCGAGAGAGGACAAAGGACTGATAATCGAAAACAAGTTGTGACCCATATAAAGGAAAACACGATCAAGAGAGAGCATCATGAGAAGAGCAAAATCAGAAATCGAGTAGACAATGGAATATCTAGTCCGGCTATAGACTTATAATGAATGAAGAAATCTATACCTGTCCATAAAAACACTATCTGGTGCATATATTCGAAAGCCATAATAATATCATATACAAGGAAACGAAGAAACCATACATAAAAAAAGCAAACAACCAAGGATTCTCGTAGAAACAAAACCAGTAAAAGAAACTTGTACCAGGAGTCCAAAGACACCAATAGACATGATATCTTTATAAAATAAAAGGCCGATAGAAAATATTGTTTTAAATACGTTAAAATATAATTGAAAAAAATAAAACTGAACAATAATATGCTAAAACAGGGGAAAAAAAAAGACATAAATGACAGGGAGATGGTTGGACAAAATCACCATCGCTGCCTTGATGTGAAAACCACTTGTAACTCCTGTATGTAAAGTGGTAACCGCTGCAAACAATTTGGTGCTTGGTACTAATATATATATATATTAAAATATTTTAAAAAATATTAAATTATCATTAATATTAATAAATGTTAAAAAAATATCTTAGTTTATTGATGATGTTTATACATTCTGTAAACGTAACTATAAAAGTACAATCAATTAAACAAAATAATATTCCTTTTAATTACTAAATTTACTTTATTAATACACAGATATATATTATTAACGTAATATAAAATTCAATATTTTTTAAACAAATTGAGCTTCTCAACCTTATTTTCTCAAGCGAATCCCCAAAATTGAAATAGGAATCGAACCCGCCAAAATTGAAATTCTAGAAATATTAAAAAAATACAATCCGCGCTTTAAAATTGCACTACAGAAAAAGCGACGATTAGCACAACATCAACGGTATATATAAACTCATAGTTTTCACGCGGATCAGCGCTTCTAGCCGTCGATAAAAAAAAATAATCGCACGACTTACATTATCCCCCGCCAAACTATTCAAAACCCTTCCCTCTATAACTAATCCCACAATTCCAACCGTCTTCACAAACAATATCTCTTCTAATTCTTCATCACAAAAGTTTTCCCGAGAAAGTAAAAAGAAAGAAAGAAAGATAACTCGTGGAAAATGTCAGGAAGGGGAAAGGGAGGAAAGGGGCTGGGAAAGGGAGGAGCCAAGAGGCATAGGAAGGTCTTAAGGGATAATATCCAGGGAATCACTAAGCCAGCGATTCGTCGTTTGGCTCGTCGAGGAGGAGTTAAGAGGATCAGCGGTTTGATCTATGAAGAAACCAGGGGAGTGTTGAAGATTTTCTTGGAAAACGTGATTCGCGATGCTGTGACTTACACTGAGCACGCAAGAAGGAAGACCGTTACCGCCATGGATGTCGTTTATGCTTTGAAAAGACAGGGCCGAACCCTCTATGGCTTTGGTGGTTAGATTACAGTTCTTTGTTCATGTTATCTTTAATCTGTAATCCTTCGTATCATCAATGGATTCCGCTAAGAAAAATTTCACCGCTTGCTCTAATTTCTGGATATACCGTTTCCGAGAATTGTTTATCCTGTGATTGATTTCTATTATAATTTTTGCATGATTGATTTCCATTAAAGTTTTGGCTATGTTTGGAATTAGTACGTACGATAAATATCTTCAGAGATTATTATCAAGTTGCATATTTAAAAAAATACACCAGCAATCTCAAAAAACAATTCTATTAGAGTCTAAATACTAGAATCACTTTGCAGCTTGAAAATTGGTCAACTTTGCCAATTGCCATGCCTGTCCATGATATTAACTTTGTCATCTGAAAGCGACAGCAGCAGCGAGTATACCAGTACTAACCTGAGCCTTCGGCTCAACACGTTACAATTTGAACAACCAGCATACCTCCACGCATCGTAATTTTTGCTGACGTGTACCGGTCCTTTTTTTATTCCCTTTATTGGCCGATATGAGAGTTCTGACCGACGACGCCGTCGTTTTGATCCAGAAAGGAAAGAAGGCTGGAGATCCTCATGTAATCAATGTCAATTGTCCAGATAAGCACGGTCTCTGTTGCGATATTTGCCGTATAATTCTTGATTTCGGTATTTTCATCACCAAAGCGGGTCAATTCTTCGTTTACCCTTCGTATCTCTTCCATTTTCACTGAAATTATTGGAAAATTATACTTTCGTTGTAAATTATGAGTTCGTTGATTTTGGCATAATATAAAACACGGAATCTTTTTTTCTAGATGAGATGTTTTTAATGTTAAATGTTTCGACGGATGGAATTTGGTGATATATGGTGTTTTGGGTTGTTCATCATTCGAGCTCGCCTTTTGAGTTTGAATAACCGTCTTCAATCCTCTGTCCTTGTTGTTCAGTGACATTTTACTTCAATGGTCAGCCGTCAAATTCCGTCACTCCTCCGGTTTACTTGCTGAAGTTCTTTCGCCTTGATCGGTAAGGAGTGTTAAATGGTAATTCACGTGCTCATGTTTTATGTGACGTGCCTTTCTAAGCTTGAGCTCTCAATTCAAAAGGTGAAAGTTACAACAACCCCGGATGGCAGAGTACTTGATCTCTTCTTTATAACAGATAACATGTGAGATTATATTCTGATATGCATGCCTTGCTTTGTTTATAGCAATCTTTGGGTATGTAATGGCGGTTTTTTGTTTGCTTAGGAATTTGCTAATTATTTGTATTTATGGGAAACTTTACTTCTTTGTTTCTGGTTAATAGATAGGTCGACGAATCTTGGGTTTAGCTCTCGAATGTTGCCCCAAGGCATTTAATTTAGCACCACTTATCAAGTAGCCCGCTTCTAGTGACAGTGAAATGGGATGTAGTTTGTGGTTTTTTTTGCCTTCTATCACCTTCTTTTACAAAGCTTTATGCCTTTGATTCTTTGCATTAGCTCATTTTTCTTTTCCTCTGTCCTTTGCTCTCTTCAACTATGTTGCTCCGATTCTTTATTTTCTTTACGTAAGTGTTTACAATATTCTTAATCGCCATCTAACCAGACATGGGAACGGAAATATGATTTTCCAATAACATTTTAAGTGAGAAATAATACGGTTGAGCTGTTATTTATAGATTGAGTAGGTTTAGAACTTGTGTAATTATATGAAGAGATACATGATTGAGCTGTAACTGTAAGTGCACGGAAAAAAAGAAATTGTGTAACTGTATGAATTATAATCAAGTCCTTAGCCATGTTGCAACGTTGTCAGGGAGCTTCTACACACAAAAGGACAAGATGATACATATAACCAATTAAATGCTGTGTTGGGCGAATCATGCATGTATCGGTTGTGAACTCAAGTTGGCTGGTCCTCAGTATGAATGTCATCATGGTATCTCGTCTCTTTCTCCTGCTATAGTGGAAGAGTTATTCCATTTTGAGCTATTGGATAAAGAGACTCGTTGTCAAGCTCTTAGCCCAAGTATGGCAAGATTGAAGAAAGCAAATGTGGTAGTCGACAATTCACTGAGCCTGGCTCATACACTGCTTCAAATACTCTGTGTTGATCACAAAGGTCTTTTCTATGAAGTGTTGAGAACATTGAAAGACTACAATATCAAGGTATTCTGCATTCCTACTTTTGAAAGTTCTTTAGAAAATCGAAAATACCTGTCTTGGACACATACCCGAGTCCAACTGACAGATTGTAGGGTACTGTAAGTTGGCTGTTTAATTATGCTGCATAATTCCTACACCTGATGACTACCGAGTTCATATATTGCAAAAATGACATGTTCTACATCCCTCATTCCCCTCGATAAAATGAGCAATATAAAGACATGGGTATAGGGGTGAAATCTTCTAATAGTGAGTTCTATAAGTCTACAGGTTGCTTTTGGATTCAAATTATCAAGTAGGGTAGCTAGAAATGAGATTGTAGGGTTAGTTAGAAGATTGCTCATGGGTTGGTAAGAGCAACCATCATCTCCTTTGTATCTACAATACAAATATTACCAACATCACCCCCACTCCTGCAACGCTATGTCGATGCACTACGGGCTTCACTTATGTAACACCTATGACGTGCACTCAACGTTTATTTGTTTCAAATTATCTTGACGCACTTAGGCTGTAAATTTGTAGGGAAATTAGTTTGTATTAACCTTTCAAGAAAACATTAGATTTCGAGTTTAAGCCAGGGTTTTGCTATCGGTTTCTTCTATCAAATAGCAGTAAAAAGTAACTTACATCACCACTTAAATGTCAACGACAATAACTTATAATATTATCCTTTCAAATTTACTTCTAATAGAATCCAATCAAAGTAAGAAATTAAATGTAAATTCCAGCGGAGTAAAATAACATTAAACCATGCGAAAATTGGCTCACTTGGTAAATAAAACCATGCGCTAACAAGGCCTAATTAAAACCGCCTCGTACATACAAAAAAAGGGGTAAATAAAAGCTCAAATTCCCGATTTAGAAATTTTGAACTACTTTCAACAGATTTCTGAAACAATACATCTTTAAATTATTCCAGCAGAGACCCAATTAAGAAGAAGAACAGATTTCAACATATGTTAATCAAATGAAAATAAATTGAATTCAATTGATCAGTTTGAAATTAAAAAAAAAAAACAAAACAAAACGAAATGCATAAAAATGAGAACCACTTAGCTTTAGCTTTAACATCCCAACATCTAGCTTAAAATTAACATAATTAATCAAACATTGCAGCTGAATCAAAGCCAGAGGAACCAAAAATCTAGTTTAACCTAAAGTATTAATGATATACCCATATAAAGTTTGTGTATTTTGTAACCCGGCTCACTCATGACCCTTTGCATAAAACATCCAAATCTCACATATCACCCAAAAAAGCTTTCATCGAGATATTACCACATGGATGTGCTGAGATGCAGTGCAGTTTGGCATTAGACAGATTTCCTGATCCATGTATAAATAAAATGACTAATATTTGTATGGAGATGGCAACCATGAGAAGTACCATTACCATAGCAAACTGAAAACCATTACATTGTGTAGTCCCCTTAACCTCTAGTATTCACTTTCTTAAACTTGAATGATAATAAGTAGTTATGCTTCCTGTTGAATTAAAGCCATTTGCTCCGAGCAATAGTGTCGTGGCACATGGGATTATAGCACTAATTTTTAAACCTATTTGATTTCCTCAACCAAAGTCTCAAACCAGACCTGATAGCCAGAGCTTTTCTTCAAACTGGTGGGATTTGGCAGCATATTGCAGTGAACAATGCAAATAGCATAAGAGCAAAGCTGCAGATTCCAGCTTACCCCAAAAAAAGGAAAGCAGGCATAAGCTGAGACGGTTATTCTCCATCATGAATTCAACTGGTTGAAATGAAGCACAGATAGTCTACAATGATCGACTACAATATGCCATATCAGCAGCCATGACAGATAATGGAGGTAAAGAATATTCCCTTCGTAATGATATAATAGTGAGGTAACTTAACCACCTAAAAGCCTAAAACGAAAAACAAGCGCATCACCAACAAGAGGAAGGAAAAAATTCCCAACAGGTAAAACAGGAAACCATGATAGAAAGAACAAAAAGATATCTACCTTGATTGCAGTCTCTTTGCATCACAAAGCAGGAGCAATCAGCAGGCAATGCAGATCTAGCCGACGGCAAGATTACTACCATAGCATGCAGTCAAAGCTTCCTTTGCATAATGAAAACACAGAGAAAAACTTCCTGCAGTCTTTCTCGGCTTCTGGGGTTAGTCGGTTGCAATGGAACCAAAATCATAATTGAAGATTATGAAATGCTAGCTTTCCTCAAACCCAAATACTTTATACTCGAGTCAAGAAACAAGCAACAGTAAAAGCCCAAACTCCACAAATCAAGACACTAATAGTTCTCTCCATGACTAGTTCCGTTAAAGAGTGATTTTGGTAGAGATACACAAATAGTTGCGATCAAGCATATAAAGTCTACAGTAGAAAGACTTAAAACCAACCAATATAACATTAGAAATGCTTCAATTTGTCTGCATCGATTCAGAATGATACTTCTCTAGATCAGCGTCAAGATCTTCTGCAGAAACCTTTTCTCCACGGCCCTTTCCCCGACCACGGCCTCTTCCAGCACCACCACGTTGCCTACCAAATCCTCCACCCCTGCCTTGGCCACTGCAAAATAACAATATTAGACTAGTAAGTAAAATCTATAACTAAATCTATTGATTAAATAAGAGAAGGGAAAGATATGGAACAAACATTCCACATATGATCACTAAGTCACTAACATAAATGGATTGATACCAGATTGTTATACAGGAAAACTATTGATTTGAGTAGAAAAACAGATTACACAAAAAAACCACCCAGTGCATGCGGTAATGTGAAATATGTCTACATTTCAAAAAACTGTAACACTGCATAGACGCAGTAGATTTAACACTCCATGAGTATCAAAAGTAAAACAGATTCTTCTTAACTGTGCCAATAATCAAAGTTTTTGATTAAGGAGAAATCTATAAAACTTAAATTTCAAATAATTGATAATTAAGGAGAAATCTATGCCAAGAACTGATCTTAAAATTAGCATCGAATGACCTTAATGCACATTAGAAAATTCAAGCAACACAAAACATACTGTATATCTATAAAACTTTTAAGCACTCTTTATCATCTCAAATGCAACAGTAGAACTAATAATAGAATCTCATCTCTTGAATAACGCAAAGAATAGTGCAAATAAATAATGAAGCATACCCTTTAGGGGCTCCATTAGAAATTCGGAAGACTCCATTAGTCACTGAAGGTGCAGGAGGGGTAGAAATGTTTGTTCCAACAATCTCAATTTTCATTGGCTTCCCATCAAGTTGAACGTTGTTGTACCTCTTTACTGCAGCCAAAGCATCTGCTTTCCGTGCGAATACAACTTCTGCTGTTCCCTAAGAAGAAGAGTTTTTTTTCTTTCTAAACTTCTGCAGGATACAAAGATATTTACTGGGAGAACTAATTTATGCCAAACTTGATCAGATACCTTCGATCTCCCACTCCTATCATAGTGGACCGAAAATCGTTTCAGGCCACCAACTTCAGAAAATAACTCCTGTACATGAAAAAGAAAGCATTAGAAAAATGAACACTAACAACACAGCACTGATCTTAATGGAAAAAATTCAAATTCAAAAAAGAATTGCAGGACTTTTCTCAACCTCAATATCTCAAGTATAACGATTAGTTAACCGATTTGTATATCAGCAAAGCTCAAGTTTATGTGGAACTAAAAAGTCAAATCAAAATGACTGTTAAAAGAAGGGAAACGGAACATAAATCATATACGAAAAACTAAATAAGATTCTAATATATACATTTTTAAAAAAATACCTTGATGTCGTCGTTTGAAATACCATAATCTAAATTAGAGATGTAGAGCTTCGTTCCTGTTTCTATTGCAGAAGTTCGACCCACTTGCCCTTGGAACGCCGCTCCATTATCTGAAAACATATCGTGTTGCCACGTCGTGTCCGGAGCCTGAGTAATAATTGAAAACGAGATCGAATCAAAACGACAAGAAAAAAGCAAATATATATATATATATAATCAGATCTAAAACCCTAGCTGTTTTTACCTTAGCTGGGGTATACGGTGCAGAGCGGTTTGCTCCTCGGTTAGGAAAGCGGCGGGAGGGTCCAGGTCCGGTTCCACGACCCCGGCCACGGGAGTTCCCGGATCCAGACTTACGGTTGCGCTTGATGAGATCATCCAGCGACATTTCTAAAGCACTCGACATCTTTTTGAATCTTCTGTAGTTAGAACAAAAGGGTTTTTTTTAAAAAGAGAGAGAGAGAGAGCTGTAGAAAGGAAACTAGACAGAGGGGGGAAATAGAGAGATCGTAGTCAAGATAGGGTTCCGCCAAAGTATAGATTTGTACTAGATACACAAATTATAAATCTCCAGACTTTACTGTCAATAACTACCGCAGATACGTTAAGTTTTACGGGGTAGGTTAAAATTAAATAGTATTTTTATACGGTTAGATAATGCTATTGTAAACATCGGGCATAAGCGGTGTTGTAGTGTAGTTGGTTATCACGTCAGTCTAACACACTGAAGGTCTCCGGTTCGAGTCCGTGCGACGCCATTTCTGCGATCCCTCTTTGATTTTCACGTTTTCTGGATACTAATGCTCTTTTTTTCTTCTTTTGATGTTGGAATTCTTGCCAGCAGGGGTAGTAGAAACTACAAATTTCTGCTCTGAATACGTTGCAAAACATCAGGCATATGATACTACATATTTTGAATCCCATGAAATAGGCTAGGTCTTCCTATTTCAAAGAAGTTATATTATGCTAATGAAGTGTTGAGAAAGATCCAGAAAACGAAACAAAATATGATCCAGTAGCACAAGAAAACATTAACTGGTCTCAATGAAACTTGGGTATTTGTTCAGGATTCACATGAACTTGTTGGAGAAAGGTAAAAGTATTATCAACTCAGATTGAACCATACAATCATAACCAGCAAGAACCGTAGGCACAGACAAAATCCACACTGGACCTCTTCACCCATATGAGCACGCTTTTCACCTTTGGGGAGTAGTATTTATCCGCTTTGGTCTACTGGTCACATATTTCTTCTCATGTCTGCACAAAGACAATGGTGGTCGCATTTATATAACATATCAATCTGCAATTCATGTCTAACATGCACTCTCATTTCAACCACCACCAAGTCCACTTTGATATAAAATATCTCCGTCTATGTCAGAACCCACAAATATTGTTCGAGACACGATTTTATCCACAATTGACACCTCCAAAGATTGAAAATGATAACAGTACAAATATATATCCTCAATAAAACTACATTAGATAAGCAAAGTGAAATTCACAAGTCCACCATCCAAAAGAAAAAGTAAACAAAAGTGACAATCTCAAAGGATCCCTATGGCAATGACCTGACAAAAAACACCATAACATTGAAACCTCACAAAAGAACTCGCAAGATGGATCCCAAACGCAGCAAGTGCCCATTACTTTCAGCCTTAATTACAGAAAGCAGAAAAATAGACAAGCTCCAAGATTAACAAAAGCATAACAAATTGAAATTGCTAATAGGGGGTTGAGCAATGCATTTCACTATCAGCATTTGTTAAGCTTAAGAAACATTCATTACATGTATATAACAGAGAAATATATTTACTGAAGATTAGCCACTGGTCAAGTAAGCTTATAGGACAAAGAGACATTTCATTTCATAGCTCAAATTTTAAATCCATTAGTAACAAGTACTTACATTCATCAAAAGGAAATTCAACATACAAAATCCCAAATCCTCGAGATAAAGAAACCCTAATCTCAAGAGCTAGTAAACTTAGTCACCGCCTTGGTACCCTCAGAGACGGCGTGCTTCGCAAGTTCTCCGGGCAAAACAAGCCTAACGGCGGTCTGGATTTCCCTGGAGGTGATAGTGGGCTTCTTGTTGTACCTCGCGAGCCTCGAAGCCTCTTGAGCAAGCTTCTCGAAGATGTCGTTGATGAAACTGTTCATGATCCCCATGGCTTTACTAGAGATCCCGATATCAGGGTGGACTTGTTTGAGGACCTTGAAGATGTAGATCTTGTAAGTCTCCACACTCTTCTTGGCTTTCTTCTTTTTCTTGTCTCCGGTAGCACCGCTTTCCTTGGGAAGCTTCTTGCCGGCCTTTGGCTTCTTCTCCGCTGGAGCTTTCTCGGCGACGGTGGTCTTTTTCTCCTCCGCTGGCTTCTTCTCCGCCGGCTTCTTCTCTGCTTTTGGGGCCATTGAGGAAGCAAGATTGTTAAGTAAAGCGTGAGTTGAGGAATTTAATCGCGGTGGTTGAGTGACGAATGACGGAAAAGCAAAGTTGGGATTTAGTATTTATAGAGGATAAAGGGATAGTATCATTGGAGAATACGCAGAGACGAGGATCGATGACGAGGATATTTCTGACCATTTGATTAAGAAATGGGATTGACGGCCTGGAAATATAAGTAAAAGTGTACGCGGGAAATAATGTTTGGAGACGTGACGGTTTTTATTGGTGGCTGTTATGGGTTTTGGATTGATGAGCTAAGGAAAAAAACAGAGACGTTTCGGCCGCCAGTCGAAGTGAAAAATATTTTTCCCTAAAAATATAAATTTAAACAAACTACATATGGAAATTGATTTGAAAATTTAATTATATTTATAAGCGAAATGTTTGAACTCATTGGTATCATATTTAATAAAAATGAAAAAAGGTTTTTGATAGCAGCATCCGGTTGAGAGCTGAAAAATTAGACGATAATTCTTTCGTTCTAAAAAGACGTAATTTTGTTCTAATGAATCAAACCATAAGACACTCTGCTGAATAACCACTTGGCATTACGAATTATAAGAAAGACTTCAAAATAAAACTTGAATCAACAGACTGATATCATTGTTCATTCAGGTCGATATTACTGTGTTCCGCAACCTGTAAACATTTCACTTAAGGCAAAAGCAGAAAGAGTTTGAATATCCATGCCTCCTGGATACTCCAATTTAGTTTGCACGGCTTCCTATAACATCAAGTCCCATCTCGGTGGGATCAGTTGCCCGCGGCTCTACTTGAATACCATCCAACTCTCTCTTGAACCTGTCCTTTGCGCTTGCGTAAATCATCTAGCTTCTCACCCTCGAGGTGTCCGGAGACCTTGAAACATACATAAACAGCAATGACTAAAATGTCCAAGGCACGGGAAAGTTAAAAACCACTAATAGTTTTGACCATGATAATACCATGCAATGAAGAAAATCCTGCTTTTCTGGCAATTCTCAGCAGTCACAAAGTCGAAATCATATACGGCATATCAACACTCATCAGCTGGGAGGCTTGCAGTGAAATCATCATAACTTTGAGTTGGCTCACCAAGATTCTCTACAACCACCTGCTTTTAACTCTAGAAACGGTAAGTTCTTTTAGCCTTTAACTCTAGAAACTTCGGCTTGCAGTCATCGTGCACAGCCATTCCAAAAGTTGTGTTTTGCCTGTAACAGAAGTGTTCATAACATGCATAAGCTTACATACAACAACGACCCCTTCAAACTAATTAATCCATCAGCTTTTCCGACTTCTTTTTTCTTCCTTTGTCAAGCATTCCCAAGACAAAATCATGAACACTAGAAAAATCTCATGTTCATGAATTCTCTCCAACAACAACAATCACCCCTGAAAATGATAGCCCAACTTCCTCAACAAACCCACAAATCTAACAATCTAGGCCATCCAATCCACGCTTACTTTCCAGGGCTTTGAATTTCAGATACATTTAACAGCCCTAAGAGCAATATCCCAAACCTAGAGTATTAAATAACAGGGGCCACAATGAGAGGTAAAGTCAACCACCTTACTTGAGACAAATTCAAGCAAAACAGCTACAATAATAATAACAAAAACAAAGGTAGTAGGACAAAAAAATTCTGAGGTGAGGCATATGCACTTGTGGGACAAAAAAAAAAACCTTCAGCATTAAACAAGAAATGAGTAAATCAACAATCTAAACTCGAAAACATAATCTATCCACAAATGGACATCGGAAGAATGATCAAGAAATTCCAATTTGAAACAGAAAATAAATGCAGATGTCAGGATTAACAAGCCAATACACATACACAAGTGTTCTATTAAACATTATAATGGTTACGAATATTTGTATTCGAAAAACATATTTCCAAAGGAATCAAAACGTCAGATATCCATGGATGTTAAGTTGTTAACAGAAGCATCTGTTTTACCTACAAAAATGTTCTCAATTTCGATACGGCTTTAAACATCCAAAACAACAACAAAACATCAAGCCGCTAGCAAGAGATCAAACAATGAACAGTTATTCTATCATTAAATCATCTCCTCGATTAAAAATTCTGAAAATGAAATCCAGTAATCATATAGCTTAAATTCAAACTAAGTTAAAGATCTATGTTCAAAGTAAATGATAAATCAGATGTACATTTTTGAAAAAGAAAAATCAACAGTAAGTCAATGTCTCAATGAAGAACAGATCAGAGAAAGACTAGTTGAACTAAAATGAAAAATAACAAAACAGAAAAAAAAAAATTAAGGAATATGAAAAACTCACCATGGCTTTTTGGACCGAACTTACGGAGAGAATCTGAAAGGCAGTCTCGAAGAGACAGTAAGATGAAAAATATAGGACTTCTACCCTTATCTATTTGTACTCTCTCCTTTCTTTTCCCTTTTTTTTTCTGTGGAGTGAAAATAAGAAGAATAAAATACACAAATTATTCTAATTGTAAAATATTATTTTATTAAATCTCATGATAATGAAAAATTATAAAATGATATTTTAATTATAATATATTATTTTATTGAATCTTCGATCATTAACTTATTGAATGAGATATATTAAAATTATATTCTAATGATGTCTATTGGTACCACCATTACTTTTAAATATTTTGAACTACCATTATTTTTAAACACTGACTCGATAATATAATGTTTTAAGCACATACTCAATGTCATATTGTAAACGAATATTTTATTCATAAAATATAACTAAAATAATTTTAGGATCATATTTTATCATATCTTAGTCAACATATTAACATCCATATGAGACAGTTGTCAAGTTTTTAATGAAGATGAATGAGTTTGGAATATATGAATAACTGAATTATCATTTTATAACTTTTAATAATTAGAAGATTTAACAAAACAATACTATATAATTGAGTAAATATTTTATAACTTTTAATATATGGATGTGAGGGTTGTTTTGGCAGTCGGTTTTCGACTCGGATTCGGAACAATTTGATCCGATCCATAAACAAAACAATCTGTTTAATTAGCTAGGCTTTTTCGGCATGGCTCCTTCAATCCAGCAGCTGATTTTACGAGGTCCATAGCATAAACTCAAAGGGGTCATTTTCGTAACTGCAAACCCAAATCTATTGGGAGCCTTTAAAAGCCGAAACCCCTAATTCTCCCTCAACACTCTTTAATCTGCTGCCATTTTTGCTGTAAACATTCATGCCCCTCACAAGTTAAGATCCAACTATTTCTTCCAACTTCATCGTTGATCGTTGTATAAAATTGATATTTTGTTTGACTTCAGATAGAACTATTGTTTGAATTTTATGGTTCATATTTTCTAATGTTCGTTTTTTGTTATCATTTTGCATGTTTTTATCTCCCGCATCCGAAAAATAATTTGAAAGTGCTTTGAGATTATAGGCAAGTTGAGGAAACAATCTGTTATATTGTTATGAATTGACCATATTCTAGCATAAAGCGGCTTAGAAATCAACCCGACTTTTGAACTGTTATGCTGTGTTTAGGAGCATAAATTAGTTGAATCTCGATATGATTATATATCTACTAGGTAGAAAAAAAATTCAAATTAAATTTCTCAAATAAATCTTTGAATTTGAGAAATAATAATCAATGTCACGTCTATTTGTGTTTTTATCATACAACTGGCATTATTTTTGACATCTAGTCCAACACTTGCTTATTGTATTATTGTATATGTAACTGTAAGTTTTTAATTGTTACATTCATTATAAAAAATCAGCAGCAGCAGCTTACATTTGAAAGGGTGGTGAGGGTCAGCGTTTTGAATGATGCACTAAAGAGCATGTACAATGCAGAGAAGAGGGGCAAACGACAGGTCATGATCAGGCCTTCCTCAAAAGTGATCATTAAGTTCCTCTTGGTCATGCAGAAGCACGGTTTGTTGGCTTTACTCTCTATGCTTCTTTATTAACTATTGAATACATGGTAATGTGAAAGTTTATACATATGCCTTTTCGATTGTTGTTACAGGTTACATTGGAGAATTTGAGTATGTTGATGACCATAGGGCTGGCAAAATTGTGGTTGAACTGAACGGGAGGCTTAACAAGTGTGGGGTAATTAGTCCTCGGTTTGATATTGGAGTCAAAGAGATCGAGGGTTGGACTGCTAGGCTTCTTCCTTCGAGACAGGTTAGCTTAAAATATTTTTTGATATGTTTTCTTTGTGTATCATGCTTTTGTATGAATTAATTTTTGCTAAGATTGATAAATTTGTCCAAAGAAAGGAACTAAATAATTTTTAGTAGTATAAATTTATATTGCTTGGACTCTTCATTATCGAGTTTGACACTTATCTACAGCACTTGAATATGGAGATATGACCTCCAAGGATCTTTCAAATATATGGAAAAACTTTTAAAAATCTAACCATACCTGTGTCCGACACTTGAACTCCAGTCCGAGTCATATGTATAAATGACATAAAGTACAAACCAAAATCATAAACCTTAGGTTATTCTTCACGGTTAATTAATTTACTTTTCATTGTAATAAACATTATATATTAGGCAATAGTTTACAACTTTAGTTATCATTTTCAATCTGTTGGGTTAAGATGTTTTTGTAAGGCAAAATCCCTGGCACACAATAACTTGAGCTCTCTTCTTGATGATGACCAATCTCAAATTGAGTTTGGTTTTTAGAGCCGAATCTGAATTACTTGCGAACATGTATTCCATTTACACCTTAGTTGATAGAAGTTTATGAAGTACAAATCAATTGCAATAAATTTTTTGTTTATTGCAGTTTGGGTATATTGTGCTCACTACATCTGCTGGCATCATGGACCATGAGGAAGCTAGAAGAAAGAATGTTGGTGGAAAAGTACTTGGTTTCTTCTATTGAGTCAAATTTCTGATAATTTCATTTTCATTATTATTCAAAAATTTCTTCATGTAGAACTCATAGTCTACAACAGTTGTACTTTTGTACCGGGAATTATAGTTTGTGACTTTGTGTTTTTTGTTATAATGTTTGGGATTATGTATGGTTTCACGTAGACTATACTTTTGTCTTTTGATTCAAAGGTTACCCATTAAAATAAAGGGTGGAGCATTATAGTCACTGAAATTTGAAATTTAGTTTCAGATTAATGTCATGTTTTTAAGAATTATTGTCGAAAACAGTTAATCTTCGGGTTTAAATAGGTAATATAAATATTTTTCCCTCAGTTTTCTTTCTCGTTTTGTATTGCCAAAGCACTTTCTTTCAACGATCGCTCGGTCTCTTTCGGCCTTTTTTTTTTATCCTTTTGACCTTGCCATTTTGCTTTAGGTTTTTGTCATTCGAAGGTCTTCGGGTTATTCATTTGAGGTCTCTCGAGGTTTGATTTTTGTAGCAGGTTCCTGCAGGGATTAATGAAGGGTTTTGTCAATCCTGTTTCCTTTTGTTTGTTTAGTTTTTTTCTCCACTTCTTCACCAGCGCAGTGAAGACTTTTATTGTTTGACATCGGTATTTCTGAGCTTTGTTATCTCGATTTTCTATTGATTTCGTTGTTTCCTTTTGTTAATTTCACCAGTGACGAGGGTCTCATTCTTTCGATATAAAGAAATCTTATCCGACCTTAAAAATCTTCCGACCATACTCTCATATTTACTAAAGTTGATCAGTTCTGCCCGTGTCTGCTCTTATTATCTTTCGTTTAGGGATATAAATAAATCTAGTTTCAATGAATAAAATTATATTCATATTGGTTGTTTTTTTTTTTTCAAGTAGTTCATGTTGATTTAAAATTTTAGTTTTAAGTTTATGTCCGTTCTTTTAATATTCACGGACATGTTTATTCATGAACATCTTTATTTAATGTTAGACACTCAATACTCCATATTATTCTTTTATTTGCAAGTAAAAGAACAATGGTGAAATTACAGGGCCTTGGCCTTGAGGATATTAAGGGTTGGAATCAGGCATGTTTCCTGCTTCTTATCAGGAAAATACTGTTGAAAGATGGTTCGATCTGGGTAGCTTGGCTGCATTCCTACATCATGAAGGAGAATTCCTTTTGGGATATTGGTTGTGCTCAGAATTTCAGTTGGGCTTGGAGGAATATTCTACAGCTTAGAACTAAAGCTGCTTCGATCCAGGGATTGTTGTCTCTTGGTACTGTAGCTATGTTTTGGCAGGAGATTCGGTATAAAAAGGAGAAGGTTCCTTGGGAGATATTGGTCTGGCATCCGGGGCACATCCCTAAAAATGCTTTAATCTCAAGGATGGCGATTTTGGACTGGTTACTTACTAAGAGCAGGCTTCTTTCTTTTGGTTTGGCCATTGATGGTGAGCGTGATTTATGCATGAAGGAGAGTGAGACTAGGGAGCATTTGTTTTTTGAGTGTGAGGTATTTCGACTTATTTGGAGTAGTATTCTGGCTCTTTGCAGGTAGAACAGGCCTGAGATGAACTGGAGTGACGAGCTTGAATGGGCGTGTCGTAGGCTTAAAGGGAAGTCTTTGAGGGCTTGGGTGTTGAAGCTGGCATGGAATAGTTCTATTGCTGTTGGAAAGCCAGGAATCATAAACTGTCTCGGGATAGCTTGCTTACTGCCTCTGAGATGGTGGATCAAGTGAAGGAGATAGTAAGGCTAAAATTGTTGGGGAATAAATTGAACAGGGAAGGCCATTTAAATAGAGATATTTGTATAGCTCGACTGCTTGAGTAAGGTATTTGTTATTTGTTCTGTCTATAGGTTTTGTTGGCTTAGGGGTGGTTCTGTAGGTTTTCTGCCTTTGTTTGATGTAGAGATGGTTGCAGCTTTGGTTTGGTATAATGCAATTACTCATAAAAAAATGGTGAAATTACATCACTAGTCTTAATTTCTTTAAGTTTCATAGTTTGAACTTATAGTTTACTTTATGTTCACTTTAGTCCTCGTCTTCGACAATATTTAAAATGTAAAAAAAATAGAACCGAGTAAACGATCCAATAAAAAAATTCAATATTAATTTATGTAACTTAATAGACAAATATAAATATATATTATGCGAATGAGTCGTACATAATTTGTCAAATATTCCCGATTATTTGCTCTATTTTTATTTTCTGAATGGATTTTTATTCAAGGTTTTATGTTATCAGGGAGAATAGGAAAAATGATCTAGGTAGCATTAGGTTTATTAAAGACAACAATGGTACTCTTTTAGTGAAAGAACATGATATTAAGAGGGTTTGGAGTAGTTACTTTTTTGGTTTATTTAATGACGGTGCCTCTCCCTATAGAGATAGTATCGTTGATGGGTCAGCCGACCATCATACTACGGCCAATGACTGCCCTACAAGTAGGATTGGGTTTGAGGAAGTCATAATGGCTCTTAGAAAGATGGAGAGGGACAAAACTATCGGTCTAGATCAAATTCCTATCACTGTGTGGTTGGCACTAGGAGAAGATGGAGTTATGTGGTTGACCAACATCTTTAATATTATTTTAGAGATTGCCAAGATGCCAGAGGAGTGAAGAGAGTCTACGGTGATACCAATCTATAAGAAAAAAGGAGATCCACAACGTTGTGGCAACTACATAGGTATTAAACTACTCAGTCACACCATGAAGTTATGGGAAATGGTGATAGAGGCTAGGTTGAGACAGGTTGCTGCAGAAAACCAATTTGGCTTTATGTCAGACAGGTCTACTACGGAGGCGATTCATCTACTTCGACGGCTTATGGAGAAATATAGGGAAAAAAATAGAGATCTTCACATGGCGTTCATTGACCTTGAGAAGGCGTATGATAGCGTTCCCCGCGATACGATTTGGAAGACCTTGGAAACGAGACGGATCCCAACTGCTTATATCCGGGCGATTCGTGATATGTACTGTAGATCTACTACATACGTAAGAACTACAGTTGGCGAACACCGAGGCATTCCCAGTGGAAATCGGACTTCACCAGGGGTCGGCTCTTAGCCCTTACATCTTCGCCTTGATTATGGACGACATCTATTGTGCGACACCAGACGGTGTCCCATGGTGTATGCTTTTCGCTGACGACATTGTCCTAGTTGCTGAAACTAAAACTGAGCTGAATAGTTGACTGGTTACCTGGAAGACTGCTTTGGAAGAAAAAGGTCTAAGGATTAATATTAAAAAGACAGAGTATTTATGTTCAAACTTCATTGGGAACCAAAACGATGAAGATGTAGAAGTATGGATAGAACATGTTCTCCCCTCAAAGGATTATTTCAAGTACCTAGGGTCTATGATACATAAAGATGGGGTATAGATGATGACGTTACACACAGTATTAAGGCGGGATGGCTAAGGTGGAGGGCTGCTACTGGGGTTTTGTGTGACAAGAAGGTGCCTTTAAAACTTAAGGGAAAATTTTATAGAATGACAATAAGACCAGTGCTGTTGTATAGATCAAAATGTTGGGCAATCAAGAAGGATCACGTAAGGAGGATGGAGGCCGCAGAAATGAGAATGCTACGATGGGCATGTGGTAGGACTCTGTGGGACATGACACCAAACTCTGCTATTAGGATGTCCTTGGGGGGTGCTTGTATCCGAAAAAATGAGGGAAGGAAGACTAAGGTGGTTTTGGCATGTCCTTAGGCGACAACCGTCGGATGAGGTCAGGAGGGTAGAGTCGATTACAATCGACGGTGCCAGAAGGAGAGGACGACCAAGGCGGAAGTGGGGAGACTGCTTGAGATCTGATTTGAAGGATTTAACCCTTACCGAGGACATGACCTCTGACAGGAAAGTATGGAGACTTAAGACCAGGGTAGCCGAGTAGTGCGGGTCACATCCATTAGGTGTATCATCTCTGTCTTCTTTTAATGTCTTTGTAGTAATTTCCATGACGACTACTTTTTTATACGTTTCTACCATTGAAATCTATGAAGGCTTTTAACTAGGGTAGTGGAGTAGTGTTGCCTAAGTTTAGGTTTTAACCTATTTGACTTTATTCCTTATCGTAGCTTGATATGGTTGACTTCTGTGTATCATTCTCTTCATGTGTCCTCTTTTTACATTTAGCCGGGTCTTACGTTTCTGTTTATATGCAGATGTTTTTACGCACAGATTTATTAGCAGAGACTACTTCTCATTACAGACACGCATATGAAGATTGTTCAACTATATATTTATTTATTTATACATGCATTGCATTTTATCTTTATTTTTAATTTTTCTGACTGTCGGATGTCTTCTACGGAAGCTGCTCTCAACCTGGCGTTGGGGGCAGCCTACTACCCTACCTCCCCTATCCCATTGCATATGGGAATAGGGTTCTGTTGTTGTTGTTGTATAACTAGTCTTATTTGATACTTAATTATCTGTTTAATTATCATCCTTGTGTATCTGCTTGCATGCGCAGGGAGGAATGAGGGCACCCGAAGTATAATAAAAGGTACGAAGAAAGGAAGAGAAAGCGAACTCTGCGCGTTTTCTCATTTATGATTAAAAAAATGAGAAAATAAATAAGGAGAGTAAACCACTGAACTTCAAATTGAACTTGCAATAGCCTTTCAAACTTTTTGCAGACCTTTCATTTGTTCTAGTTTTTCGAAGATCTCCGTCTCATTCTCCGATCATGTATTCCTTTTGTTTTGGTTTACTTATTTAGTTACGTGGATTAGAGTGTGGAAATGTCTGCTTCTTGATTCCGATTTTTCTTTTTTGGATTATGATTCGAGAAGTTTTCTTTGTTTGGTGAAATTCGTCAATGACTGCTCCACCAGCAAGAGCTAGAGCTGTTTATGATTACCTCATAAAGCTTCTATTGATCGGCGAAGCGGTTCGTTGATCTCTACAACATTTTTCCCTCTCCTTTTCCATGGAACCTAACATATCTCTGAATTTTACCAATCATAACCTTCTCGTTTAGATTTATTTTCAGTTTTGTTTCTACGATTTGGATGAGTTTCATGGGATTCATTTATGGGTTTTGAGAGTTAAAGACCGTTGAAGAATCAAAATTGGGAGCATTTACTAGTTAAGTAATTGTCTGTTGATTTTACTGAATACAATTAGGTAGGAGTGGCAGTAGCTCTATGCACTTAATTTATGGTTATTTGAATTTGATAATATGCTGGTTTCTTAACTTTTAATTAATCTACATTTCAGATTTGGCATGAAGTTCTTTTGCAAGAAATGTTTGGTGGTTTTGTTTTTAGTTTGAAATTTTGATGCCTTCATAATCTGATATGCATTCGAAGCTTTGCTCAGAGGACTTCAACGTTTTCTGTTATTTACATATGTAGGTGTTGGTAATAGTTGCCTTCTTCTGCGGTTCTCTGATGGTTCCTTCACAACCAGTTTTATCACCACCATTGGGTGCGAATTTTGCAGCTTGAGCCATTTCGTCTCGTTTCTTTTATATAGATGAACTTGCCTGACTTGAACAGCACGACTCTTCCATGTGCAGTATTGATTTTAAGATAAGAACCACTGAGCTTGATGGAAAACGAATTAAGCTCCAAATTTGGAATACAGCTGGACAGGAGAGGTTTCGGACAATCACAACCGGTGAGTACTTAGAAATTTATTTTGGAGCCAAATTTATAAAATCATCAAGGCATTGTGATCCTTCACAATTGGTAATGCATCATACAATGACTGAGAAATTACCTTGAACAATTCCATTGACATCCATTTACTGCCTTGGTCTGTGGTTTAGGAGTCTTACATGCACACTAATAATCGCTGAAATCATTCTTAAACTTCTTAGGTCTGCTCTTTTTTTAGCAATCATTTTCTTGGTACTTTAAATTAGAGAGGCTGCTAAATGGTTTCCATTTAAGCATGGCAATTTCAAGCGTGATGCAAATGGTTACAGGGTTACTGCCTGGGAACTTGTTCTTCTTTGTCTGATTCTAACTTTGGGAGAGTTTTTCACCATTGTATGGTATACAACTTTGTGGTCTGGGCATATCACTCGGGTGTTTCGAAATGTAAAGTTCTCTTAGAGAAAAATGAAATTCTTATCATTTTGATATTTGGTAATTTAAATCTTCTGTGGGCTGGTTTATGAAAGTAGATATATCCCTTGTATTGCATTACTCCAAGGGGTCTCCCCTTATGCATCTTTTTCTTGTACTTTTAACAGCTTATTATCGTGGTGCTATGGGAATCTTGCTGGTCTATGATGTCACAGATGAATCATCCTTCAACAGTAAATCTCATTCTCTTGCTTTCACTTAATGGCTGATTCTTGCTTTGTCGTTTGACCTTACATTTTAACTTACTTTTCTCAATTGTTTTCTTATTTGTTAGTATCCTCTTATTAATCATTTAAAGATTAAAGCTATGCTTCTGTTAAATCCCTTAAAGAGTGGCTTCTTTCCTTGCAGATATTAGGAATTGGATTCGGAACATTGAACAGCATGCATCTGATAATGTTAACAAGATATTGGTAGGGAACAAGGCAGACATGGATGAAAGCAAAAGGGTATGTTGCTCCCAACAAAATTTTAGTAGATAACGTCTTATGATTATATTGTCATTTAGTATGCTTTGCATGTTATACAAGTCAGCTAAGAGTGCTGTAGGATCAGTACTTCTTGACCTAGAAATTGAAGATAACTTTTTTCGTGCAACTCATTCCTAAACAATTGTTTTAATTATACAAAACAATTAGTTCTAAACCCCTGTATGAATGCATCTATTTTCTGATCTTACTCTTTGTTTTCCCCCCTTTTCAGGCTGTGCCTACCTCAAAGGGACAAACACTTGGTGATGAGTATGGAATAATTTTTTTTGAAACCGTAAGCAATGCTTGATGATTCTTGTTGCTTTTTGAAATCTAGATTTACCGTGTTGTGTATGCTGAAAGAAACTGTGTCATGCAGAGTGCAAAGACAAATATAAATGTGGAGGAAGTTTTCTTTTCAATGGCGAAGGACATAAAACAAAGACTCGCTGATACCGACTCTAGGGCTGAGGTATTCAAATTGCCTGAAAACAAAACTCATTAAAAGAAAATTAGGCTCTTATGACTATAAAAGCATATCTATCTTATAATTATGGAATTTGTTTTGTATGGTTGCAGCCTTCGACCATCAAGATCAATCAACCTGACGCAGCAGGTGGGGCAGGTCAAGCTGCACAAACATCGGGTTGCTGTGGTTCAACCTAAGGCGATTAGATTTGGTCCAACACGAGTAAATATTGGATCTTAAACTTCCATTAAAAAGAAAGTTGTGGAAACTAATGGAATTGAATGCAAGATGGGTGCTTGTGTTTTGGTCGTGTTTTTCCGCTCCCTCTCCCTATCTTAAACTAATGGCATTGAATGCATGATGGGTGCTTGTCATTAAGATGAATTGAAAGTTGTGGGAGATTGGACAGGTATAAAAGTGATCGCCAATATTTGGCAAATCAGAATCGGCGATCAACTGATCCGGCTTGTGATTAAGCTTAGTATGCTTCTTTAGGAACTGATAATTGTTCGATGTGGTCGCATAGCCTGTGGCTTTGTATTTACAAATGTATGATTAATGGATGATCTTTAGTATCATCAAAGCTTACATTCCATTTTAGGAGGAAGGGATGTTCTAGCCAGGACGCGATCTTGAGGCTTTGAATCCTAAGGTGTCAATATAAAGCTTTAACAATTTGTCGAGGAGTCGGTATTTGCTGTTCAGGTCGATTGAAAGGCACATAAATGACTGTAATTGGATGTGGAATGAAAGTATGACCCGGCCGGTTGGTTAATGTGCTTTATTCGCTTGCTCTTTTCTTGAGGGATCGATATTTGTTGTTTGAAAGGTGTAGAAATAACTAGAACGGGATGCATGATGCAAGTATGATCTAATTATTGTGCCTCTGTCTCCCAAGGGAGAATGTTCATCGGATACAATTGCACGGGTAGTGGCAACAAAACTTTTAATTAAAATTTTAATCTAATGGTAAATTATATCATTTTAATCTTAATTAAATATGTAATATATATAATTAATCTGTCAAAGTTATAATTAAATTTACATTTAATATGATTATTTAACCAGAACACGTATACGGACACATCATTATCATAATAAATTATAAATCTAACCCTATATATAAAAAAAAGTCATTTTGTAGCACCCCAGGCTATCTTATTAACGCTTTGTTTTGTCCACCCTAATACCTACCTTCAACGACCGATCGAACGCACATATGATACCACGTCTCAAGTTATTTCATAGAGAGATTGCGGCATTTACTTACCCATTTTTCCATGCTCATTATTTATGAAAGAGATTGATATTCTTTTCCTAGATTCTGATAAAAACATATATCTGTTCATATAATTAATCTCGCTTTTTACTTCTTCCTTTCCATAGCAATAAAGGTGTGCTGATGAAGCCTGAAACGATTCTGGAAACGTGTTGGAGATAGTTTATTCTTCTTAAATCTCCATTCACACTTGTTTCATTGTTGTTAAACGTTCGTGATAGTTTTATTATATGTAAATATACAAAAACATATGCAGATTTTTTAATAATATATAAATATGTTAATATATTAATATCGAACAAATGGTGTCTTTACAACAACAAAAAAAGGAATAAAAGGTATTCCTACATTTTTAAAAAAAAAATTAAGAAATCTATAGCCATGATTTGGAAACCAGAAACAGAAAAGAATATCCTATATGAACAAATGAACAATCGGCGTAGGCGGCGGCGCCACCTTCTCCAACTTGAAATCCAAATCAGTTCCGCAAGTCCCCAGTTTCAGATCAAGACACAAACCACCGTCAGCACCACCGTCGGGTTTCTTCATCTCTGAAAATAAATCATGTCGGTTAACCAATCCTTCATTGGAAGCAGCCCTATGTCTCCTCATGTGACCTCCAAGAGCTTGACCGATAGGGAATTCCAGCCCGCAAATAGAACACTCGTGTGTTTTAGGCTTCTTGGGTGATGAAACAGTCATATCCTCGGTTAGCCTCGGCTTCTTGTGGCTTGCACGATGGCCTCCAAGTGCTTGAAAAGACGAAAACCTTTTATCGCATGTCTTGCATGCAAATACACGACTCTGATGCATGTTATTATGCTTTGATGGGTCGATTTGGCCAACTTTTGATAACAACATCAAGCAATTCGCCATTGCCATCGTCTCAATATCTCCACTTTCTCTACCTCTCTTCATTGTAGCCATATATAAAAGAAACACGGGAAATCTATATATGTGTGTGTTTGATGATGAAAATTTGATGTTTTAGACAATTGATTTCTGGAGTTCATAATTTATAGGTAGAAGTTGCCGAGTGTGGGGGCTTACTTGGAAACTTCAAAAAGACGGATTTGTCAAAGCAAATCTTATCGGCTAAGGAAGTAAAGAGGGGCGGAATTGGAATTCCATAAGCCGTCACCATCGGTATGTTAGCGTCACCGCGTAGCGGAGCAAGAAACAGTCGATAGAGGCAACTCAGCTACGACAAGTAGGAGCGGTTGTTATTGTACTTTAAGACTTATTGGTAAAGTAATAAATCAACGCGGTCCTTCCTTCTTAATTTCACACTACCCTTTGTTGAATTCTAGAATTTTATGCTTTTAATTTATACCCTACCATTATCACATCTTTGAATTTGAATATAAATCAAATCATAAGGTTTTGATTAAGAAACTAAATTAGTAATTAATCAGAACCTATTTTTATTATATTAATTTATTTTTTATAGTACATAAAACGTTTTATTTTAAAATTACTAAAAATGTTTAAATGCTATTTATATATATAATCAGATCTGAAATGTCCTTACAAAAGGCTTTGTTATTTTAAAAGTGTAAACATGAACCATTTCTTACACCGAAATCATCTGTCAAAGAACAATAAATTCATAGAGAGGAAAGCCGTAACGGTACGGGCGGCAAAATTCCACTCGACTACTTCTGGATCTGTTGAAAATAATTATCAGCCTAATTTTTTAATATTATTTTATTAGAATTTTCGGTTTTCAAATTACCCTATGTTTCATGCAAGGACTAAAAGGGAACTACGTGTTCCAAATCATAGAAGCTTCGATGTCTAGAATTTTATCCAATATAATATCAAAGTCATCTGAGAATTTTATCCGCAGTTGCTTCTACAAAGATGTAGCTTTTGGATGATTCTAAAACCAATGGTTTTTCAACATTATCATAGAATTGAGTGGGGTTACTTGCTCGACCTGATGTATTAAAGTCTATTAAATTGAATTTAAGAATAATTTTTTTTATAAACCTTGGGTAAATATAAGTTAGTGTCTGTATAAATATTTTTTATTTTTTGACAATAAACGCTTGTACCTCTAGCATACGTGGTACACGAATCAAGAACTCAGACGATAACAACAAATTCCTTAACGACTAAGGTCGTTCAATTGGTTCGTGCAAAAATTCATAAAATTTGAATTAATAATAAGCTCATAACTACTTCGTTCTTATAGACTTCGGATCGTTCCTCAAGAGAATGGAATTTAATGAATGAAATGAGAATTCGAATTGTGGAATTGTCTTTGTAAAGTAACTTTTAATCAGTTCGACTAACCACATGATTTTCAGATCAAAATTCATGCAAATATCCTGAGATTGGGGTGAGATAAGAGCTAGAGTTTGATTTTCAACATGTTTGATGACTTAGGATGACGAATTGTGGATATTATATGTATATAGGGTTAAGTTATGTTGCTTTTGAGCTCTGCAAGGCCACAAAAAGTGATCATCAGCTTAAACGTATGATGTTACCATAACGATCATTATCATCATTGAGTTTAAGTTGATGTTATACCTTATCCTGATTTAAAATTATATTTTATTTTCTTCTAAACAAATTCGAGTTTGCAGTTATAATGGTGTAAACTGATGACCTTTGTTACATCTGAGATAATCTAATAATAATAATGATTGGATGGGGATGATATTTAAATAAGTCCGACCAACAATGAATTAATTCAATTTTAGCTATGATGTTGCGATAAATAAAGGAACGAGGAGCTATGAGATAAAGTATAACATCAATCCCAAACTAGGGTTTTGCGGGAAATAATAGATTTCTGGCTTAAGAGTTATTTTGTCTCCGTACCTATGATATTTTCACATCAATTTAGTTCTCAAAGTCTGTTGATCGTTTTAAGTAATAGAATCATTAATCTTATGCGTCTGTGGATTAAGAGATTAGGTTAAAATATTTACTAAATACAACAATTAGAAAATGTTTTCAAATTTTTATTATTTATTTCAATGAAATTATAATCTCTTAATTAAGAGATTAGGTTAATTTTTTCGGTATTTTTTAACCATTGTATTTAGTAAATATTTTATTATTTATTTTTTTAATAAATGTCACATCATCATCAAGTCGCGTCAGTAATATTGGTTGATGTGAAAATTATTGTCGTTCACATATGCATAAAACTAATGATTCTGTTAATCAAAATAGACTTTGAAGGCTAAATTAACACGAAAATACTATAGAGATGAAAATGATAAATTATGTATATTACATGAAAAAAAATGCCCCTTAAACTTAGATTTTTCTAACAAAAGTGAATAATATTTCCACACGATGAATACATATGTTTAATTAAAACTAAAGAAAATGAAATAAATATTATGAAATAACCCAACTCCCATGCTAGAAACTAATAAAAGTTATTATGTTTATTACATTTTAAAATAATAAAAACTATAAAAATACAATATAAACATGTAATTAGGGGTTAGCATTCGATCGAGTTGAGTCACAAGTTTTGAGTTATTCGAGTTGATAAGTTCTATTTTAAACTCAAACTTGATTTGAAATTCTTTTGAGTCAAGCCAAGTTTATAAAATTCAAGTTGAGTTGAGTCAAGTCGAGTTTCTGTTTAAATGTAATTATAAATATTTATAATATTATGATACTATTTGATTTCAATTTAAATGTTTTTATAACAATGTACAATACATATATATTTATTCATATTTTTTTCGTATGTGATATACAAATATCATATAGAATCGAGGGATTTGACTCAAACTTGAAAATAAATCTATTAATTACTAAAAAAATTAAGTTATTCAAGTTACTATTTGAGTTGTATTTTATAACTCGATTTGAAACTAAATTTTTTTAGTTAAGTCGAATTTGTGAAATTACAGTTTAAAGTTAATTCAAGTCGATTTTTTTAATTGGGTCGAGTTTTACTCGTCCCTACATGTAATATAAGGAAATAATCACTCTACTTTAGGTAATTCTACTGTAGACAACTTTAATATACGCCTAAGGAAAGAAAGACCCTATTGGAAATGTTAATATTTTTTTAACATTTTCGATAAAGCACTGCCTAAAACATTATTATTTTTTATTGGAAATGTTAATTTTGATACCTAATTTCTGGTAGAAAAAATAACATTTTAGGTAGCGCCCAAAATTAATATTTCCGGTATAAAAAATAATGTTTTAGGTAGAGATTTACCGGAAATGTTAAACATTTTAGGTAACGCCTAATATTAATATTTCCTGTAGAAAAAAAATGTTCTAGGTAACAATTTACTGAAAATATTTTAAAAAAATATATATTAACATTTCCTTATCCGTATATTAAGGTTGTCGTACCTTATTCATCCCCTACTTTATCAAGCAAGTTGTATAACAATAAAATTGACAAAAGTGGAAATTAGTTCTGAGCACCTACTCTTTTATAAATCACTAATCAAATCATATACTGTTTAGACTCTAGTCTGAGCATAAAACTAAAAGTAATTAATCAAAACCTAATAATTTTGTGTAAATATTATATAAATTAATCAATCTAATATAAAAATAAATTATATATATTCAACACATTCATAGTATTGCAATTATTCAAACTTAATTTAAAACTTAAATGTTTGAAGAAAACATTGTAACTTGAATAGAATCAATATGCACGAAGAAATGATCTGTTATAGTTCCTATTATCTGTAATCTCTAATCAGTACCTAATTATTGTATAATTAAATTAATTAGTTTTGAGAATGAGACAAAATTACCGTATCTTCCACGGTTCCACCATGGCACCAACATATTAACATCTTATCGTTTCAAATTTTATATGTTATCGTGCCATTTTGTTAGATGACAAAATCGTTTGTTGCTGCCATGCTTGGGTGCTTATGAAAACAAATAAGTCTGACATTCTTTTTTGTAATTTTGAACTTTTTTTAAAAAAAAAATTATACCATGTTATTCTATATGTGAAAAATAATATTTTTTTGAATAATTATTATATCATTTTTATTTAATTTATTTGTAACATTAAATATAACTAAAACTTCAATATATAATATAAATTATTCGGGTAGACCAATATTCGTACATAAGTATAGAATGGTGTTCCATTGAACATTTAACGTATACCTTCTCCGTCATTTAACTTAAATTAAGGGGGATATGGATTTAAAGTGGGGCGGCCATAATTTTAGTGGTTTCCACATCATAATGGTTAAATTCTTTATTTAAGACTAATCTTTGGTTATCCTCATTCCATTTCAAAGGACCCTGACTGATAAGTTCACCATTTTAAATCATTGTACTGGTTTAGTAATTGACCGTTCAAAATTAATAATACGATTCTTAAAATAATAGGTTTAATTATGATTTTTATCCTTTTTAATTTATGATAATTAAGAATTTAGTTCCTTTATTTAGTATGCCATTAAAAGTTTCAAGTGTCAAGAGAAATTAAAAAATAAAAGAGTTGAAATGATTTAAAAAAAAAAAAAACTAAAAATTATAAGTGTCGTAGGTAAAAATAAAAAATAAAAGTCTTGAGATTTCCATAGTCATAGTTTGATATCCCAATCAAATGAGTTAATCTTTTGGGGGATGATTGATTGCAGCCTCCATTAAAATACTAAAAATTAATTACGCATGACTCCACTTTAAAAATTTCTGCAAAGCACAGCCACTTAATTTGCACTTGTAATAAAATCAGCAGTAGTCCACTTTGAACCCAACAAGATTTGATAATTACTACAACAGATGAAATCTATCACTCAGATTATTTTGCTATAATGGATCATGACATCGATAGGTTGCTACCACATATATATATATATATATATATATGAGTAGTGGAAGGCATAATTGTTCATATCAGAGAGAAAGAAAAGTGGGGGAAAATGGAAACTGTACTGAAGGATGAAACTAGAAAGGGTCCGTGGACCGAAAAGGAAGACATAGTTCTGGTGAACTTTGTGCACTTATTTGGTGATCGACGATGGGACTTTATAGCCAAAGTTTCAGGTTTGAAGGTGTGGCGGGAGACAAATATGATATAGGTAGGATTATCTGAAAGATTTGTAGGTTTTTCCATAGGAGCTTTTCTCTTTTAACCCCCGTGGATTGTTTTTGTTATAGGCTTGAATCGAACAGGCAAGAGTTGCAGGCTACGATGGGTTAATTATTTGCACCCTGGTCTCAAAAGAGGCAAGATGACACCCCAAGAAGAAAAACTCGTGCTTGATCTTCACGCCAAATGGGGAAACAGGTCTTGCTTTCTCTCTTTTGAAATTCTTGGCTTTCACTAGGGTTTATAATTCATCAATATATTTCACTTTGCAGGTGGTCAAGGATTGCTAGGAAATTGCCGGGTCGGACGGATAACGAGATCAAGAACTATTGGAGAACTCATATGAGAAAAATGGCTCAAGATAAGAAACAATCCATGTCACCATCTTCGTCTTCGTCAACTATCACTAGAGCCGATTCCTCGTCTGGGAATGTAAGTTTTTATGACACCGGAGGTCCGGAAATGGCGGTTTTCGAAGACGTTAAAGGGTACTCCATGGATGAAATCTGGAATTACATTGATATGTCTGAAGAAAAGACAATGGGATTACCTTTGTCCGGTAACAACGGTACTGAAGAAGGTTGTAACTTTTCATGCCCTTCAATGGCCTCTCCTTCATGGGATTTCTACTGGGATTATTCACTGTGGAAGATGGATGAAGAAGAGAGTAAGATGCTCGTCCCAACCAATCAAATTCAATTCATTTGTTCGTAGAACTCTAACCTGTAGAAAAAAACATGGGGTTTTCTCTAAGTTGTTGTGGTTTCATTTCCCAGTGTTTTGTATTTGTGGTTTTAGTCCTCAAAGAGAGTTGCAGAGAGAACCCTTTCTCAAAATCTCCCTTGAGGATACTTGGCATGGATGCATGTAAAATACGTCTTTGAATTTTAAATTTTCAACTTAATGTTCGGATTTGAATTCCAAACATACTCAACATCGTATTTGAATTTAATATTTATTGAATTAAAATCAAAATTGACCTAATAAATTATGTTAAGACGACCCTTGTTGGAAAAGAGAATTAATAAAAGATAGGATTGGTGATAAAAAGTTAAAGGCGTACCATTTGAACTTGAATCGCATAGTTTTAGTGAGCATTGATTCAGTAGAGGAAAGGCAACAATTAGTGATGGTGAATTAAATAGGACAGGGTATGGTCACTAAAAAGCAAGTTAAAACGAGCATCAATTTGCAGGCTTATTCCAGCAACGTCAAGTACTGTTTATGCTTTATGATATGTGGTCCTCCTCATTGAACCTTATGCTATATAGATTCTCTATTAATTTTTAGTATAATATACTTATATTTCACATTTTAAAATTTATATCGACATGGACATAAGATAAAATAAACCAATACATTCATATTAAATACATATTTGAATTTAAAATATTTTTTTAGGTATCTCTACTCATTGCTTAGTTGAATAAAAAGGGTATCAAATTGGTAGGAGTTAAAAGAAAGTAATATGAACGGCTACTATCATTTGAAGGAGCGGGACAATGACAGGCAATTCTAATTTTTAACAAGGGATATGCCAATCATACAACAGGTACTGCGCACTGACTCTGAGCTTTAGATCAAACCCATAGTGGAATAAATTCAATAGAAATAACCCCAAGGATTTAGGACACTTTCCAAAAGATTCTACATCTAAACTTTTTAACTTCAATCTCTTTAGGATATATACATCTCTTGATGACAAGGCTAAGGCCGGTGTTATCTGCAATATAACATGTTCCAAAACAATTAAAAATTTTGGTCATTGAATAAGCTTTTGAGTTTTTTTCGTCTTCGTCGTTTACCAGTCCACCACAGAACTTGAGAAGCAAGCTGAGCGATCCAATACTCCACACCAAGGTAATGTAGCCACCAACAAAGGCGCCGAATGTGATGGCGGAGTAGCAATGGGTCCCCCAGCCACCCGCCCCTATGATTGCCGTTGTTTTTTGATTGACCATCACCGGCTATTGGGTTGTTTTATATTGTGATGACGTGGAAGGGGTTGGTTTAGGTTATCTTTGCTGGCTTCATTGTTGTCATGCAGTGCACTAATCAAGCCTTATTAACCGGTAAGTCCTAATTATTTATTTATCTTCCCATTTGTGTTTATATATATATATATATATATATATATATATATATATATATATATGATGTTTAGTTTTATTGACACAAAAAATTAGTCACTTCATATAACATAATAACATATAAGTGACATAAGTAGATCAATATACACAATCAAATCAACCATCATAAAAGAGACAAATGTCAACCCTCAATGACAAATGAGAACAATGTTCAAATAATAAAAATCGTGCTAAAAGATAAAAAAACATTAAAAAAAACAAAGAATATCAACACTGATCAACAAAGATAAAAAAAGAAGGGACGAGCGACAGCGCCACAAATAGGGAAAACTAGGTTTTCAGATGAGAGTATAAGGGACCAAGTTTTCTATTTATTGAAAAAAATACACTACACCACTCATATTGAACTTCATAAATATTGACCACTGGCCTCTTTTTTCAGATAAATCCGGATCAAGAAAATTATTTTAATGTGGCTAAGTAACTTTGGTTTAAGCCCAATTATTCCTTCTTCCACACGGCCCATTGATTATTTTGTAGAAATTATAAAGCCTTTAATTTCCATTTGAAACAGCCCAACAAAATTGGTTATAATTATCAAAAAGTTTTTTTAAAATAAATTTATAAGATTTTTAATTATACTATTTTTGTAATTAATTAAAACTGTATAAATTTACATATTATTGATAAATAAGATACAAAATATTTTTTATGCAGTGATAAAGTAATAATTTATTTACACATATGACATGCCTAGTATCAACGTGAAAAATTAACCTTAAAAATGTAGTTTAAAAATCACTTATAAAACCTGGATGTTAGTAAATAACAGAGAATGCATGTATATTCAGCTCAAAAAATTAAGTTCAATGTTCTATTATGTATAATATCTGAGGATATAAGAATTTCGCCATCTCACATTTCAAAGTATGTCGTCTATTTCAAATTTTATTACGTGTTATTTATATATCATTTTCTGCATTATATTAAGATTATTGTTATATAAATATAATATGCTGATATTAATTGATTTGAAGGTGATCATGGATCAATTAGAATTGTTTTTTAGTCAACTTTATACTTAAATTCTATTTTCATTAATTTTTATATCTTATTATTATTATTATTTAATAGTTTAGAGTGATTATAAAGTAACATCTATTCAGAATTTTCTTAACAATTTGATAACACACATATCCTACATACACTGTCTACTCAAACTCATGATATATAAAGAAAATACCATTTCTTTTTATCACTTAATAAGTTCTTTTATATATTATTAATAATATTAACTTTTGATGATACGATGATATAAGCTTATACATTTTATATTATTTATTTATTTATTAATTATAATTATAGGACAGTCAAAAACATTATAATTATCTTATAAGTAATGTTTTTATTAGTGGTAATAGATATGGTTTGAAGGTGTTGTTTTGGGTGATGATGGCACATTTTAGTCAAAGGCAAGAACCGAACGCGTTTAAGAATCCTAATTCATTGCTATAATTTTGTGTTCAAAGGCAAAAAGAAACACTTTAGCTGACCTCCCACCGCATCTAACGCTTTATCCCAAAAAGATATTCTTTTTGTCTTTCTTTATAAAACACCAAATATTTATTTCTTGCCTTTCTCTTACACTTCTTGTATACATCTTCTCCTCCCTTTTATATTTGACTTCAACATTTCTCGTCTTTTCGAGGAATAATTAACAATGGGGAAGAGGAGACAACATCCTTCCGTTTCCGTCGATCGAATCTTCACCGATGATACAGTTACTCAACGAAACAACCACCATTACTAGCCTTTGAAATCATTTCAGTCACCTTCACCGAATACTAATATTAGGTAAAGGGGGACGAACGATTAGGACAGTGGGTGACAGTGAAAGGAAGATGGAAGGGGATGACGGGGGTTGGGAGAAGATTTTTTTTAAATATACATTTTTAAATATAATTTTTTAAGTTTTTTAATTAAATCTTCAAAATTATAGAATACAACACGTCACTTAATGAGAATTTTCAACAACCGTTACAATTTGGACATTTAAAATAATAATATTTATAACATTGAACGTCTAAATTGACCGAAAAATAATTTAGATACCTAAATAAAAAAGATGATATAATTTAAATACTTATTTTTATATTAAACCTTTATCTATTTACACCTATGCAACTATTGCATGATCCCCCATCTTAACACCATTCTACCTATTCTAAATTTAATTTTTAAAATTTAAATCTTAATGTTTTAAATTTTCGTTATTATTAAATTAATTTAAAGTAAATAATACTATTATGTATTGAATTATCATTTCAAAGTTTGCGCAAATGATAGGGGAGTCGAAATTATTCACTGGATCCGCTGATCATGTTATCTATGGTCCTAGCCAACAAAATTTATTCATTTTAAAGTAATTTTTAAATAACTATCACTTCTTATTTAATATAAAAAAGAGATGAAAACTTATATTGTAAAAAGAATAAGATATATGGATTTTATTATTTAGGACTACGGATGATGATGGGTGACTAAATCAATCTAATAATTTTTTGATAAGGAAGGCTAGGTACCCTACATTTCTATTTTAATTGGTTTTCCTTAAAAGGAGCATTCTTTACAATCATACTTTTACTTTATTTGGTAAGAAAAGATTAAAAAAATGATATTAAAACAATAAATTTGTCAATGTAATGATTAAACTATATAATAAAAAAAGTTTTTTCAGCGTTAACCATTAAGACTAATAAAATTTTCGACCCTTCTACAGACAATTTATTCGTTGAAATAATTAAAGCCGAAAGAACAGCAAGGGTATTGGAGATCTTTCAGTCAAATATTGTATTTAGTCAAACTCAAATCTGTTCTGAAATTACAAAGTTATTTGTGTCCACCAAATAGTGTTACTCAAAAGTGGGAGCTTCATTGAGAGAAGGAATCCTATGGTTCGTTTCATATATTATATTATATTGTCATAATTGTTTTGTTTTTGTATTAAGCTAGTCGTATAACATGAATAGTATTATAAATTCAATTGTTGTTATGTCTTAAAGAAATTATTTATTATCAAAATCTTAATTTAATTGATATTATTAATGCAATGAATATAATAAATATCATGAATTCTTCACCTAAATTTTTTGTAACAAAAAAAAATCATGAATTCTAACATGTCTAAAGGTACAATAGTCTTCTCTAAAAGATTTCTTTTGGCCATTGGTATTAAAAGAAATTTGACCTTTCGCTTTGCTTTGGGGGAAAAAATCAAACACGAGGTTGGCGAATTGAAATAATAATAAAAATTCATAAGTTTATGCTTCCAGGTGTGAATTAAGGGTTTTATGTACTCTGGCAAAGTGGGGACTTAATCACATACGGTATCGGTAGGTCACTTAGTTTTCGACATGAAAAGGACTATATCTATGACGTATATAATACAATAAATATAATTAAAGAATGATTTAACGTAAATATAAACTTATAATACTTTAAACACAATTCCAATGCATAAATCATATATACAACAAACATAGTTAAGAAATGTAAATTTAATTATCTGTTTTATTATTTGATAAGTGCAAATATTTTTGTTCTCCCTCGGAGCTGCATTTCTGTCCTTCTGGAAACCA